GGCATTGCGGTCTCAAATCCGGTTCCTTCGCGTTCCTTAGCTTTGGTTAAAAGTTAAACTTTGAGCTGGGGATCAGGACAGCCCAGACAAAATATATATATATATATACATATACATGATGTACATGAACGAATATTTCAACACATCAACAAGTCAATGATTGAGAAGACAAGAAACGAGAAGTGAACACAGACAAACAAATAAACTAACTAAACAGATAGTTACATGTATGTATATATATATGGCATATATATATACTCATCGATCCATATAGTATGCATATGATATGATTACACGCAATATGTGATTGAGTGCCCCCGCAAGAAGCGAGACACACATGTGTGTTGCATCCGGATTAGCTCCGGGAAGCCCGGAGCTCTTGGGGCTCCATGGCGCCAGTTTTGTTAAGCGATCAACGTGGGGGTTATTCTCACTTCCTGAGTTCATGAACTTTAAACTTTTTGGGGCTGGACCATTTTAGTGGTAAATAAAAAAGTTTGGGGTTTTTGTTGGCCATCCACTCAGCAAGTGAGTATTCCCTTGTTTCAAGTGATTTGAAGATCGCCTCAGGCCAAGAGTGTGTGTGTGTGTGTGTGCTGTATTGGTGTGATGCTGGAAGGCCTTACCGGCTGCTGGTCGAATTCGATGTAATGTTTCATTAGACTCTATTCTGGGGGAGGCTGCCTGTGGCGTGGCCGTTAAAGGGGCCATGTAATGGAGCCGTTGGCAAATATCTCCTTGGAAAATTGGATTGGCGCCAATCCAGTGGATCTGGGGCCGGACTTAGATCCCCAAACATGTGTCACCTTGTCTGGTTGAAAGGGGAAATGATGGGCGCTTAATTGTTTTTTCAGGCCTTCGTGTCAGCTTCCCTGATTGTTCGGAGACTAGCTGACGAGCTGGGTTTCAGGATCAAAAGAGGGGGTGATGGCTTTTTTGTTGCCGCGAAACGGTCACAAGTCCCAGGTTTTGGGTATGTTTCCAAGCATGGGGAAGTGCAAATGCAAGTTCCATTCAGCAAATGGTGTGTCTCAAAAACCGGAGTTTTCCCATGGTCTCCTGTTTGTTGATTTCCTTTTGGTTTCCCTTACAACCCCTAGAAGTAGCCCCCTTTTGACGCTTTTGTTTGCTTTATGTGGCAAAGGTCCCTACACAAAATACATATGTCATCGGGTTCACAAACTTCCATTCGAGAGGACTTTCGAAACCAAAGCTTCCAAGGCTCGGTGTCTCATGTCCTGAAACCCAGCTAGTCAGCCAGTCTCCGTATAACAAGCTGACAGAAAATAGTGAAACAGATCAATGAACTTTCCATCCTGATGGTTGCGAAATCCATTTCGCAGCGTTGAGAAGCCCTGGGAGAGTGATTGCCCTGATTCCAACGAATGGTTTTCAAGTGGGTTGAAAGTGGTGCGAAATGGATTTCGCAACCATCCACCCTCGGTTGTCCGCGGTGGCCAGATCGTGGACCAAAGTCTGGTGGACGATGACGGCCAGAGCTACGACTTGCGGGGCCCTCTGGCGCTCTGCTCGCCCCGCGTGCAAATTACAAGCGACGGAAGTTAAGGCGACGCCGGGAGGCGGGGTCCTTTAACGGTGCTCCTTATAAGAAATTCATGTTGCAACCATTTGAAACATGGTGCTTTTTCAACACCAAATACAGAAATGGAAACCACCATTTACAATGTTGAAATGTTCAGGTGTATAATGCATCCGGATCGAAGAACAAGCCGGAGTCTGGACCTGAAAGTCGGGATTCCCAGAGCAACATGGAAAAATGTAACCGTTGGCCTGAGTTTCTGCGTATACGTTGAAGGTATCATGGGGTCATCCATGTTTTGGTGGTTGAATTGCGAAATGCTATGTATCAAAATAGATAACCTCAAAACCAGGCCCAAAAAGAGTATCCTCAAAGCAAGACACACTCTTTCTGGGAGACCCGCTCTCCCAGAAAAAGAGCGGATTACTCTGAGAAACGGCAGTGTTCTTTTTGGCATGCCAGACTTTCCAGGTGCAAAAGGGCGATGTGATCCATAGTCTTAAGGCGATGGAGCATCAGCAGACCCTCTAACACTTTTTGCCCCCCCCCCCCCCCCACCCATTGTTTGTTCTTTGGGCTTAAAGCGTGCCCTGTTTTCGTTGTAAAGGAAAGAGGAGACCTCTGCTGGTTCTCCCAATGTTACCATGTCATGCTATCATGTTATTGTGTAGCAAAGAAAAGAAAGCACTTGACTGCTGACTTCGAGACCTCTTTGAAAGCAATATTACATTTTTCAGGTTCGTGGAACCTGGACCAGGATCAAACATCTCATTTCTGCTTGGGGGTGAGACTAGCCCGTTTGGCTTCTCCCTTCCCTTTTTAGGAAGCTCCAGCTTTGGCGTTGAGGCTGGCTTCAAGGATCGCAACTCTCACACCTATTCAGTCTTACGAAACATTGCCGGATCTGTTTGGCAGGAGAGGTGCAGTGCTGAACCCAACTGCCAACTGGGAGGATGTGTCATGACGTGCAGAGGGTCCCAATAGGGAGACTAAAGCAAGGGTTTGTTTTTCGGTGTAATTTGGAGCACCTACCACCTGTGTGTTTTTGTTTTCATGGGTACGTCTTTGGGTTTGTTGTAAATTAATGAAACCAGCCAGGAAACCCAGCCATTTGGGGCGGTTCCTACATCCATGGGACCCAGCTCGGCCTTGGCCCGACAAAACACATCCGCCGAGTCTTGCGGAGACGGGCGGCAAGATGCTTCCGCAGCTGGGCGAGAATGATACGCACGGAGTCTCAGACTATGCACGTCCAAAACACGGGCCTACCGGAAAATACGCATTGTTTACGCTTGATGTGTTTTTTTGTGGAACATATATTGGTTTGCGGTTTACGGTTGTGTTGTTTTTGAGGGTATTCCTCCGAGAAATCGTGGAATTCGACGGTCCCCCCAAAATGAGCCACACCAATATGGAACATACAGTCGGACCTAGGGAGCCTCGCTGCCATGTCTCTGAGCACTTTTCCGGGCTTAGCACGAGCTCACTGTCCCGGTTCCTTTGGAGTTCCGGATGTCCGGTTTAGTGTCAACCCCATATTCATCAACCCCGATTTATTGATGGGGGGGTGTTCCCCTCCAAACGTGATGATTCCCCACCAACCGCAGGGACACCCCCTTATTAATAAATGAGGGTTGATGAATAGTGGAGTCAACACTATTTGTAAATTGCCCATCCCAAAAGTCATCGAATGAGCCTGTACGGTTGCTGAAACTTTCATTGCCTTCACCGACAAGCAAATGGTTGAATAGCATGGGGAATCAAGCCCCAGAATGCTTGTCAGGGGCCCCCGGATTATGGAAATTAAGAGGATCCTGCAATCGCTCCCAAAGACCTTATGAGTCCTGCTCGGCGGTTGTTAGGCCCTATTGGGACTGATGGTCCCTTTTTGTTCAGGTTCTTGTTAGTTGGTTTGGATTGGTGTGGGGATGTGAACCCGTTCTTGTACAGGGCAAATGGACCCCCCCCCCCCACCACCAAACCTTGGGAGGCATTTCTGGGGCCTAGCAGATTACCATCTGGTATACTGAGAGCTTGCAGCCATGGCTCACTGGAGAGCTTGGGGGAAATTGAAGAACGTCACGGAGTTTGGGTGGACCCTGATCAGAGGCTCGAAAAAAGATGTCCTGCCTGTGGTTCTCTCTCGGAATTTCCAAAAAAGCCAGGGAAACTCTTTAAGTTTCCCACGTCTAGTGAAGTTTTGACCCTTTGCTTGGCTGTTCAGAAAGATTACCCGCAAGTTCCCACAAGGGAGCCCTTGCAGAACCAGCTGGGAAAAAGATTCCAAGAGGCGCGGCAGAGTTCTGGCGATAGATGGCTCTCTTGTGCCCGATTCCCTGTGTCCATGTGCGCGAAATATCAGAACTCGCACTCTGCCCCCACCCCAAACCCCCCACTTTGAATCTCGTTGAATTGGGTACATAGTAAAACCTAAACCTCCATGTGGTACAATGTGTGAAACAGGCGCTCTGAACAACCAACCGCGCCCATGTTTTTGTTGGCCCCAGAAGGGCTCCGGAGCCGCTCCGTCTGATTTCAGGGGTGGAGGGAGTTGGCCCGTCAAAATCCCATTCGGATGCCGTCACTCGAAATGCACTGACACGACGTTTTCTTGCAAGTCATATAGCTGTCTCACTAGTCATTTGGCTGAAAACTGGTGACATCATGGTCGCCCAAATCGATGTACATCTGGTTGAAGATATCACAATCAATCCTGAGGTGAGAATCTTGGGGAATCCTTCATGGATGAGCTAGCAAAACCCTTTCCGGTATGCTTACTGCATCTGCTGCCTACCCTTTACAGGTAAACCAAAAGGAAATCTATCATTTTGCCAAAGCTAAAGGCCAACACGTACTCCGAGCCTAGACTTTTACATGTCCGATCGACCACAAGAAGGAAGGAACCGGAAGGTGATCCCTCAGGAAACGACCAGGGATGCTTGAACTAGGGCAACCCCCAAATGGGTCAAGCCCTGGGAAATGGACACATGGTTTCTAAAACCTGCGGTTTCCTGGTGATTTCATTTTGACCCATACCCATATATTCTGAACGATGTTCGTTCGAGCGGAGCCCTTTTGCCAGGCACCGGCTCTTTACCTAGATGTGGTTGAGCTTGGTTGGTCTGCTTGCAGCAATTCGGGAATCAAGCGACCGCATAAACGCGTCTATTCAGGGTTGCTCGATGTGAAGCGCATGTTCATGGCTGGAGCTTGCAACCGCAGTTCCCGAAGGTTTCATTGCGGACTTTTTCATGGAAGCTCTGACTTCCTTGGACACAAACACACACACACACACACATAGCCCATTCAGAGCTCCGACAGGTCCCACTTTTGAGGAGCACGTCGAACTTGGGCAAGCATATCCTCGGCAAGGCTTTCTGTATCCAAGGATCTTGAGATTACAGCGAGTTACTTCTCAATCAGCATCGGGGAACTTTGATTCATGTGCCATCCCCTTTCGGATGTATCCGAGATGAGATGCACCCGGCCATGGTTTCGCTATAGCACCCGCGCTTGTCGGGAAGGAGAGGGGTGCTGGAGAAATACAGTGTTTCAAGTTCTGGAAACAGTTGGGTCAAAATAGGGGAAGCCTCAACATGAACCCTCAAACAATGGACGTCCGCTTGGGCAGGTCTTTTGTTGGGTCAGAGTGAGACATTGGGTTATTTCTCTCAAACCGACCACTTGATCTTCGATGATAGACCAATGAGGCTGCAACTTTGCTCTGACAAAGAAGCATAGGTGTCCCCGGCGCTGGTTTGGGGTCTGCAGATAGAGTCTCCATGACCCTGAAACAAATGGCTCCAGGACCCCTTAATTTTGGGTAATGACCCCATGTTGTTTTAAGGCTCATGGAGACTCCAGGTTGAGACAATCTGGCGTTTCGTGCTGTGGTGTGCCTGTGGATTGGTGTGGAGTTCTGGAGTTCGGAGTTCCAAAGTTGTCCTGTGAGGTGTTCCAGTCGCTGGCAGTGTGACTCCAGGCTGTTCCGGCTGCTGTTCAGCTTGTCCCAGTGCAGGTTGCAGCTCCCCTTTTTTTGGTTGGGAGGGTTCCCCTACTTTTTGGTTGGGGGGGTTCCCCTACTAAAATTGACTACGGAAAAAAGATCGGGTACGCTTATTCTACCCTCTCCACTGGAGGACCTAGGTGGAGACTTGTTGCATTCTGGCGTGTCCCCCTGGTTTTCGGAACATCAGGATGGACCTTCGCCTGGACCCGAGCCCTTCGGCGGGATTGGAGAAAAACTCAGCGTTTCTCACCGGGCTTGCTTTGGACGGGGTACGGTTTGACCCGGTAGGAACCCACAGTGGCTCCCAGCCAGTTTGGTCCCTTCGCTTTTTGGCTTTATTATTTTAGTTGGTTTAGTGGTTGTGGTTTCCATTTAACCCACCAAACGTAACACTTTTAGCAGGGGATCTGAGGACAGCCCAGAAAAGAACTGTCCCAAATTCAACACTCATCCCTTGCATGGGGAACAAACACCGTGGTTTGGCCGTCGTTTTCTGTGGGTTCCTTTCAAGGCAACCTCCAGAGGTCTCTCAACTTGGCCGCGAAGTGCAACAAGCGCCCAACGAGTTGATCGGCGGCGTTTGACTTGAAGGCTTTGGACATGTGGATGGACCACTTTGAAACCAGGGGCAACCATTGTTTCTTGGTATTTTGAGGGAAATCATCATTCCAGGATTTCTTAGGTGGTGCGAAATGGATTTCGTCCATCCACAGTATGCCCAGATTCGGACTGAGCGAATTCTTCTAAACACACAATTGTCGTTAGGTAGGAAATGACCCTCGAGGCTCTTTGGGGTGTCTTAAAATAGGGGACTCCCCCTTTAAAAGAAGTGACAGAAGAGAAGGGCTTTCTCTTTCATTTCACCATGAGTCTTCTCCAAAGCACGTGCCCTCAGAAAAAGGGCACGCCTCTTTAACCCAGTTGCCCGGTAATGCCCTTTCTTCCTTTTTTGGGGAAGGGTTCCGCTCTAAAGTCCACCAAAAAAGGATGCCGATCCGTTGCCCGTGGAAATCCACTGGGCATCTGAGTTAAAGGAGCTGCCCAGGTGCAATTCTCGGATATTTCGATCCATGAGGTTTTAACTTCAATTGCACGAGCATCTTCCGCGAGGATCTTGTACTCCTAGGCAGGGCTGGAGTGAAACCTCGGGTTTTTACACTTGGGTATGCTGAAGTTATGCAGGTTTGAGTCTTTGGCTCAAAAGATGCCATTTTGGGTACTAGTTTTGAGCCGCAGCCACTTGTGTCGACCGCCTTTGCCTTTGTTAAAAGGTTGAACAATGGTTTAGAGCACCTTTGTTTAAAGGTGTAATCATGAATAGACCACCTTTGTTGAACGGTTTAAACGTTTGGACCCTCTTTGTTCAAAGGTGAGTTCATGTTTAAACCGCCTTATGTTGCAAGTGTTGTTGAAAGGTTTAATCATGCTTAGACCACTTTTGCCTGAAGGTTGAGTCATATTTAGACCACTTTTGTTTTAAGGTTGACTGGTTTTCTGTCCGCCTTCATTGAAAGGGTTGATCATGTTTTGACTACTTGTGCTTGAGGGTGACTTTACACCACCATTGTCGAAATGTTTACTGTTTAACTGTTTAACCATGTTGAGACCACCTTTGCTGCAGGGTTTCATCATGTTTCAACACCTTTGTTGAAAGGCTCAATCGCCTTTCTTTTGGCCACCTTTGTTTCAAATTTAGATAATGGTTATGCCATTGTTGTTGACAGCTTGAGTCATGCTTGGATAAAGGGTCATGGAGACTCCAGGTAAATTTGGGTATGGGTCAAAATTGTGGGGTTGCCCTATTTTTGACCCACAACCATTTACCTTTAACATGGTTTCGCGTCTTTCACCGTAAGCCCATCAGGGTACCTGCCGCTGACCACCCTTTGCTCGGAGCACACAGCCGTGAACCTGGCCATCGTGTCGATGATGCCCATCGGCACGGACCGCGGTGATCGAATTTTTCGCCCTCTTTGGGAGGAACATCGTAGTTGCCGTGCACAAAAACAGGTGTTGTTTTGGTGATTTGCTGCTTTTGTTCCAAAAACAACAACACGAAAAGGTTTTGTTTTGGCCATTTGATGTTTTCCCCCAAGAAAAGAGCGGTTTTGGTTTTGTCCTTTGACGTTTGTTGCCATCGTTTTCCATTCGAAGCACATGTACGGGGTTCCTAGTTTTGGAGTAAAACATCCAGTGGAGTCTCCAGACCCACTTTTTTGCAAAGAAGTTTGCTGGCGTCTTGTTGGGCCATCTACTCAGATATTCGCGAATCCTCAAGCTTGTTTTGGTCAATCCTGATGTGTTCTCGCAAGCTGACATGGTTCTGTCATAGGATCCGCTTGCCACCCCGCCCCCCCACCACCCACCCCTTCCCCTTTCCTCCAAATTCGGCATTAATAAAGCCTTACACGGCAGCGATCTAATTCTTTGGGACTGGGTTCCTTTGGTTGCTCAAGTACCACAGGTGGATCCACCATTTTCAGAAGCTCCCTTGCTTCTATGGGTTCATTCCCCATTCTTTTCACCCATTCTTCTTTCCAAAAACCGATCGCCATTTCCCCGGGTGTTTCTTGGTTTCTTAGAGAGATTCGGATCCGGAAAAAAACAAAAAGGTTCTCAAGTACCAACAACTGAATATCCACCATTTTCAGAACAGAACGGCCGAGTTCAAAAAAACTAGGCCCCTATGGCGGGCCGATTTCAATTCCGAGGTTCAGCTTCTGCTCCAGGGAGGATGGCCTCTCAGCAGCACAGATGTTTTTTTGTTTTTTCGTCGCGAGGAGGTTCTGGGGTCTCAAAAACTCGAATTCATTTGGTAGACCAAATGGGCTTGTTTCTTTTTTCAGGGTTCCCCCCAAAAGTGGCTGGTCTCCTTTTGGTTCCCCTTATATGAAACAGATTCCGCATATATGTTTCTTCCGGCCTATTCCCGACGTGGGTCAAGGTTTTGGGTAGGTTGTTGAAGAGCAAGCAACTGATACTGGATGGACAACATCCTGCACCACCTGAGAAACCCTGGTACCAACAAACAGTAGTTTCCAACATGGTTTTAGACTGGTGCGAAATGGATTTCGTTCATCCTGAGAATCCCTGGAATGATGATTCCCCGGTAAATACCAACAAACAATAGTTTCCCATGGTGCGAAATGGATTGCGTCCATCCAAAGTCTTGCCCTTCGAGAAAGCCGGGCACCCTGGAGGTGTACCTCATGTCTTCATGGTTGTTGGGAGACATTTCGCATTTTTGCTTATTGTGGTTGAGTGGTTGAAATCCAACCACGGAACTGCTCGATTTTATATATATATATATATATTCATATATTTGTGCTCCCCTTCCAACATCAACCCAGGAGGGGTGCCTTCGGTTGGCTTCGCTTTGTTCCGGCGCTGAAATCCCAGGCTTCTGCGACGTGCCGGCCGTGGGCCGAGAGTTCCGGGGCTTGAAAGCTCGCCTGGTGCGAGTTCTCGGGAAGGCGCCCGGGTCGGATTTCGGAGGGCGACGATGGGCCGTTTTGGTTGGTGTCGCGCTTTCCAGAAACAGATTTGGCCCTGGGTCAAAATCCAAATCGTACATTCAGTGAACATCCTAATCCCCACTAAAATAGGTTCTAAAATGGGTGGTGAATTCACCCACCCCAAAATGGTACCATTGGTTTTGACCCACAGCCATATTTGGCCCTCAGTTGGTTTTTGTTACCTTGGTGGCTCTCCCAGGTATCCGGTTTCTTAGCCTTTTAGTTGGTTTAGTGGGGCATTTCACCCATATCGGAAAACGCCGATGCCTCAGCTTTTTAGTTGGTTCAGCCACATCTGAAAACGGACAGCCCGGCGACATGGCCGCACAGCCTGCAATACCATCTTAGACCCAAGAGTCGATGGGTTGCGAACGATCTGTTGAGCGCCCAAAGCCGATGTTTGTTGGGCATTGTTGTAGGTAGTTCGGCTCCTGCCTGGTTCGAGGGTCGCTTCGATAGAAAGCTTGTTTTGGCGTGGGTGTGAACTCCAACATCAAATCCTTAGCCGTTCACTTCTAAAGGGTGGTTTATCTTGGACCCCAAACCTTCGATGTTTATGTAAAAGTATTGTCACGCAAAAGAAGGCCAAACAGCCACATAAAAGGGGTACCCCCCCTGATCCGCTCCGCTTCCATGTCAAGTTGTGTTTTTGCTTGGTGTGGAATTCTAAATCCAACCATCACTTTTCAAGGGTGTCTGATCTGAGATCTGGAAATCTGACAGAGCAAGTCTTGGCAATATGAAACTTAAGACGTGGCATTACATGAAGCACTGGGAATCTGAGATAAGTCTTGGCAATACTGAACTAAGCACTGGCAAGCTCCCACGAAAGAGGCCCAGATGCGATGTTGGCATTCCAGGAGGGGGGGGTATATAAAGCGGACCCCACATTATTAGGTTATGATTATGACTCCAACTTATTATTTAGGAGGCATACGGAGCTTTGGGTGTGCAGTTTTAACGAGGGGCCCTTTGGTGGCCAGTGTTTGCTTGAAGACTGATGCCCACCAATGTGGGAAGGTACCCGATAGGGACCTTTTCCCCCGCCCTTAAAATCACCCCCGCCCCAAAAATCATATGTCTGTGGCTCAAAAAACCGGAATTCCAAAATGGATTGCCCTGGCAAGTGGAAACATGGAAACCAAAACCTGCGGTTTGCCCCTCCGATCGTTTAATTTTGAGAACCACACCCATATGTTTGCAAAGACTCACGACTCACTTGCATAGAAGGCAGCATGGAAACCCAAGAAACTCACAACAGCACCCCCAAACCTCCGGTGGTGTCCCTTCAGAAGAAAGGAAGGTTCCCTTCAAAATAAGCTGTCAACAGTGTTTACAAGTTGGTCTCGCACAACAAAAGTGGTAAAAGGGGGTTTCCGTTCAAGATACACTGCCCACTACAGTTTCCCTTCAAAATAAAGGGGGTTCCCTTCAAGATACACTACTTTATGTCTTGTTCCAAAGGAACACTTGATAAGAGATTCGACTCGATAAGATTGTAAATGGAATCTCTCTCATACCCAAATAAGACAAACAATTACAATGATGAAGGCAAAGAGATAGAATGAGAGAGTCCGCCCGCGTCGTTTCCTCTCAATTCACATTCATTAACCTAGAAGTGTGGCTCTGACATTTGATTCTTTGTCTCATAGAAAAGCAAGTAGAGATGATAATAACCAGCCAGTAAAAAGCAGAAATACAAAGACAGTTTGAATAAACGCCTTTGCTGGTAGTGTACCTTGAAGGGAAGCCCCCTTCTAACACTTTGGATGGTCATTTATTTCCAAGGGGTAGCGTGTCTTAAAGGGATCCCCCTTCTAACGACTGTTTTTGGTCTTTTGTTTGCAATGGAATACCCCTTAACACATTTGATCTTCTAGAAGGCTGTGTTTTCTCTTTTATCAATAGCTTTATTCATTACATTCCTTGATTATCTGTTTGTCTATTGATCGCAATCATCTCATCTCGAATCGCTTATCTTTGAGACACAGCTGAATACATCCCATGTGAGACACAAAATTCTAGATGAATATGCAGATGAGAGAGGTATAAGACGAGGAAGGAATCTCTTATCCTACCCCTTTGCCTTCGTTCTAATGCCTTATTTGGTTATGAGAGAGATTCCATCGTAGCCCTCATCTCTTGACAGGTGGTCCTTTGGTGTAGAGAGCGGCAAGGACAGATTATTTAGCAACTTGTTTGGTTTGATGATCGTTTCCATTGTCTTGTTGTTCCTTCTGTGCATTTATCCCTTGTTATACTCCTATGAAGATGTCCCATGCTCATACTTTATAGTTTGCTTACAGTCAAGTGCATTTCTACTAATCGCCTTGTTGGTGAATTACCTCCCTATCTTTGGCATGGCATGTCCTTTCTGTATTCTCTGGAGTGTCTTTGTCAAGGAAAGGGACAAGACAGGTTCCCTTCAAAACAAACCAACAACCGTGTTCAGAAGGGGTGTTCCCTTCAAAGCAACGGGTTGGATCTTTGGACTACATTTTTTTGGCAAATCAAAGGGTTTACCCCCAAAAGTTAAGCTTTTTGCAGCAACCAAGCAAGGGAGGCCCTTTCAAGCAGCTTCGTTTCACCCCTTTTTTCCTGGGAAATCGTCACGCCCGCAGGTGGCCCCACGTCTGCCGGCGAAGCTGGGCCGCCTGGCGGCTTTGGCTTCCAGGAGGAGTTGGCGGGAATCCCGGTGCGAGGAGCTGCTCGGAGCGGAAGCTCTCCCGATTTCTGTCCTACTGTACTCCATGTCATCCATGCTTTTCCTTGGGATCCTGAGGCAACCCGCTAAACCATGCCTTTTTGGCTGATCCTGAGGTAAACCCCGTGTAAACCCCATGCAAACCCTACTGCGGATGGTTGCGAAATCCATTTCGCACCATTTTGAAACCAGGAGAAACCATTGTTTGTTACGGTATTTACAGGGCAAGCGAATTCTCCCAGGGTTTCTGAGGTGGTGCAGGATTTCGTCCATCCACAGTAGGTCCCCCAGCAACTGGTGCCCGACCTCTCACCTTTTTTTTGGGTTGGGAGGGTTCGGGACCCTACTAAAATAGACTACAGAAAAAGGGTACCAACTTTTATTCTAACCTCTCTACTGGGACCTAGTGTCTTCCCTTGGTGGCTCCCAGCCATCCAGTTCCTTAGCTTTTTAGATCCTTTTAGTGTTTAATGGTGGTTTCCATGAAAACCCACTAAAAGTTAGTCACTCTTAGTGGATCTGAGGGCAGCCCAGCCTGCTTGCGGTTTTTTCTTCACCCATCTGGTTCCCTGAGGTTTTGGACTCAAAGTTGAAACTAGACCACGGTTGGCCCGAAAGCAGAACATCGCAAGCGAGGTCGGCCCAACGCTGCAGGATGCGTTCTTTTTCCCTACACTTCGTGAAGCAAGCGCGAGACAGCACCAGGCAAGGTGCTCTGCGCAAACTGGTCGGTGCAAGTTGGTCTGCGCAAGTTGCTCTACGCAAGTTGCACTGTGCAAGTTGCTCTGCGCAAGTTGCTCCGCGCAAGTTGCTCCGGCAAGTTGGTCCCTGCAAGTTGCTCTGTGCAAATTGCGCTCCCTGCAAGTTGCTCTGTGCAAGCTGCTCTGTGCAAGTTGCTCTGTGCAAGTTGCTCTGCGTAAGTTGCTCTGCGCAAGTTGCTCTAGGCAAGGCGCTCTGCGCAAACTGGTCGGTGCAAGTTGGTCTGCGCAAGTTGCTCTGTGCAACTTGCTCTGCGCAAGTTGCTCTGCGCAAGTTGCTGTAAAATGCAAGTTGCATCTTGCGACGCCCGCCCGCGGACCAGGGAGGAATCGAACCCGCGACCCGCCGGTTCCGGGAGCAGGCGCGCGAACCACGAGACAACTCCCGAGGACCAGTTCGAACAACAAAAGTCGCAAAAAACCTTGAGTTTTTGCACCTCGACCACGCCGATTCCCGCAGAGGGTTGCGCGAGCACCGCAGAAATCGCAAAAAACCATGGGTTTTTGCACCTCGACCACGCCGATCCCCGCAGAGGGTCGCGCGAGCAGCAGAAATCGCAAAAAAACCATGGGTTTTTGCACCTCGACCACGCCGATCCCCGCAGAGGGTCGCGCGAGCAGGTTAGAAATCGCAAAAAACCATGGGTTTTTGCACCTCGACCACGCCGATCCCCGCAGAGGGTCGCGCGAGCAGGTTAGAAATCGCAAAAAACCATGGGTTTTTGCACCTCGACCACGCCGATCCCCGCAGAGGGTCGCGCGGGAACTTTAGAAATCGCAAAAAACCATGGGTTTTTGCACCTCGACCACGCCGATCCCCGCAGAGGGTCGATTTTCGTGTAGTGTCGTCGGCACTACCCCGCCGCCCTAAGAAGAGATTTTAACTCCTCGCAAGTCAATTGCACTTGACTCCTTGCACTTGCACTTGAGAAGGAATCAAGGAGTCACAAGCAAGGAGTCATTGCAAGGAGTCATTGCAAGGAGTCATTGCAAGGAGTCATTGCAAGGAGTCATTGCAAGGAGTCATTGCAAGGAGTCATGAGAGCCATTGCAAGTTGCAAGGAGCCAAGTGCATGGAGTCAAGTGCAAGTCGCAAGTGCACGGAGTTAAGTGCAAGTTGCAAGTGCAAGGAGCCATGCAAGGAGCCAAGTGCAAGGAGCCAAGTGCATGGAGTCAAGTGCAAGAGTTGAGTGCAAGTGCAAGGCAGTTGCAAGGCAAGTCTGAATGACTCCTTTGACTCCTTGCAATGACTCCTGCAATGACTCCTTGCAATGACTCCTTGCAATGACTCCTTGCATTGACTTTCATGATGATGATTCCTTGCAATGACACCTTGTAATGACTCTCATGAGAACAATTCAAGTGAACCCAGCGGAAGAACCCTTCGCCATGCTTTCGGGAACATCTCAGCAGGGGATCTGTGAGCCCAGGCGTTGAGGCGAAAGGTCTCCGTCTTTTGGCTTGGATTGAAGGGAAGCATTCAAGTCTTAGGTTTTGACACTTAGAGTCAGTTAGATATTTGCGGAGCCATTGTGGGTTCCTTAGTTGGTTGGGGGTCAGTATTTTGTCTGTGGGTTATCGGAGTCAGCTGGGGGTGTTTCCCTTGGGGGCTGACTTTGGCGGTGAAACGGTGAGGCCGAAAGCCAACCACTGGGTATCTGCATTGTCCTGGGGAATGTGAGCCTGGTTCAGCATACAAACCTCCAGTGGATGTCGAGGGAGAACCTCGACACCTTTGCGGGGTTGACTTGAACTGGCCGCCCGGGGGGGGGGGAGGTTGCTTTCTGCCAAAACCATGGTGTGCACTTCCATGCTTGTTGGACAGAGAGTATGACCTTTAGCGGTCCCCTGTTTTCAACTTGCGTGGGTGGGCGTCTGACAACTTCAGCTTCAAAATGGGTGTCCTTGTTTTTTCCCTGGAAATCCGCTAGTGGTTTGCGCTCTGAACCAGGCACACAGATATCTCAGATACTCAAGGTCGTTTCCGGAGGAACATGTTTGGGGCTAAGTCTACCCAGGGGTTCCACACATAGCGCACACGGCGCTGAACACTGGCCTCAACTCAGCCAACTAGGCTCAAGAGAACCCCTCCCCCCCAAACCTCTGCATTAGATTCGTTCAGGTTTTCTAGATACAAACAGCGGCTGGACTTGTTGGACCAACCAGTCAAGGCCATTTAACGTCACTTAGACTTTGATAGTTCGCGAGGATCAAGTTACATTGCCAGACATACACTCCTGATGTACTCCAGATTAGTATAAAAGCCCCAAAGGCCTGACACAAATGTGATTTTCCGAAGGTTGCGTTTGGGCTGTCATTACCTCTACAACTGGCCTTTGTTTTTAAGGACCTCCAGGCAGGACCTCCAGCCAGGGAGGAGGTCCATGACGGTTGCCCTTGTTTGCTTTCCTTCATTTAGGTATGTGTCATAGTATGGGAGCCCTGAAAACGCTGTTTTTTTCCTCAAACTTCCCTTTCAACAAACCTCAAGACCCGTTTTCTCCCCAACAAAAATCAAAGTCAGGCGTCCCAAAGTGCAAAAAAATGTGCCTTCCGAAAAGTTGTCCTTTCTCCCGACCGGATTTGTTCTAACCCTACACCTGCCTCCATTTGGGGGGTTCCCAGGATCATGGAGGTGCCACGTGCCGAGATCTTCACCCACATCCCGGTGGCGAATTTGTTCGAGTGCATGCGAAAGTTGAAGGAGCGCCTGGTGGTTCGCTTCACACACGGCCGCAACAGCCGCGGGAAAAAAAGACGGGGGTTTGATGGGGTTTGATGGTTGCCCCTTTTCCCTCAGTTGTTCACAGACGACCTTTTGACCTTTTGGTTTTCCTATTTTGGTCTACTTTTAGTAGACGTCCCAAAAGGTTAACCTGTTATTTCCAGGTCCTTTGGGCAAGTGAGTTCCAGCTGTACCTTCGCCATTGAGTCAGGGATGCTCTTCTCCTCCAACATTGGCCCAATGCCCTTGGAACATGTGGTTGAGAACGAATCAACCCATAAAGCTTTCTGAGATAACACGCGAATCCTCCAAGTGAAGTAGTCATGGGAATGGCCCAAATGGGAAAGTCACAAGTGGCTGCAACTGGCGGTCTACATTTTACGCAGCAGCCTTTCACACGAACGTTGACGCAGAACCTGACTGAATCCTAGAAGACTATTTCTTGAAGCCCGCTTTGGTTGATTCCAAGTGCCCATCCACTTCTGTAAACGTTACATTCCCAAGGAAAGTCCTCAGGATTCTTCAGCGGCATTTTTTTCAAAAGGGAAACCACTATTTTTGTTTGATTTTCAAAAGGGAAACCACTATTTTTGTTTGATGCCTTCCCAACTAGACAGGGTCATCTCAACCCCCGAAAACAGCAATCAATTGGGCTACCTATTACCATGTATTACCATACTTGCAGCTAGAAGCCTCAATGGTGTGAGGGCAACAATCGATGGCTGCACGCAACCCCTGGTATGAGTCCCTCAGTGTCTAGTTGACAACGCATTATGACTTTAATTGCGGGAAACCAACCAAGGCCCAAACAAGGATATTGGCAGTGGCTTGGATATTGGCTGTGGCTTCATATGGGTCTGTCTCAGTTCCTGCTGGTTTGCCTTTGAACCGTTCAAACCAAGCTGCAAAGGGCGCCCTCAACAAAAACGTGTATGTGTATATGTATATGTATATATATGGTCACCCCCCCCTGCATGACCTACCGTTGTCTTTCAAAAAGTCGTTGGGGACCATTAGCAGACAATAAAAAAGTGAAAAAAACACCTGTTTTTTTATGGTGTTCGATTAAAAAACAACACAGTCAACCATTGAAAAATTAAGAAAAAACAGTGTGGTTTGATGGTTTTAGCAAAAACATGTGCAAAAACCATGGTTTTTTGTTTAGAAAAACAGGAAAGCATTCAAAAAAACAAGTGTAAAAACTGATATGTTTTTCAGATAGATCCCTAAGTCAAAAACTAAGAATTCCCTGGGTTTTTGATAGTTTTGCAGTAAAACCTTCAGAATTCCTTGGGTTTTTAGCATTTTTCACATAAAACCAAGAAAACCTCGAGAAAACCAAGAATCCAAGAATCCAAGATTTTCAGGTAGATGTTTGGTCCACTACAAAATCTTGGATTCTTGGTTTTCTCGAGGTTTTCTTGGTTTTCTTGGTTTTACTTGGGAATTCTTGGATTTCCAGCAAAAAACCAAGAATTACTAGGGTTTTTTTGGATTTCCAGCAAAAAACCAAGAAAACCTCGAGAAAACCAAGAATCCAAGAATCCAAGATTTTCAGGTAGATGTTTGGTCCACTACAAAATCTTGGATTCTTGGTTTTCTCGAGGTTTTCTTGGTTTTCCTGGTTTTACTTGGGAATTCTTGGGTTTCCAGCAAAAAACCAAGAATTACTAGGTTTTTTTTGGATTTCCAGCAAAAAACCAAGATTTACTAGGGTTTGTTTGGATTTCCAGCAAAAAACCAAGAATTACTAGGGTTTTTTTGGATTTCCAGCAAAAAACCAAGATTTACTAGGGTGTTTTTGGTTTTCCAGCAAAAAACCAAGAATTCCCAAGTAAAACAAGGAAAACCAAGAAAACCTCGAGAAAACCAAGAATCCAAGATTTTGTCGTGGGCCAGACATCTACATGAAAATCTTGGATTCTTGGATTCTTGGTTTTCTCGAGGTTTTCTTGGTTTTCTTGATTTTACTTGGCAAGAATTACTAGGGTGTTTTTGGATTTCCAGCAAAAACACAAGATTTACTAGGGTTTTTTTTTCTCCAGCAAAAAACCAAGAATTCCCAAGTAAAACAAGGAAAACCAAGAAAACCTCGAGAAAACCAAGAATCCAAGATTTTGTCGTGGGCCAGACATCTAAAACAACAGAAATACCAGCACCAACTGAAGACGAAGAAGAACCACAAAAAGATAATTTTGAAAAATTAAAATCTTAATAATATCATATATAATGGGTATTGGTAAAAGTAAAAATAATGAAAATAATAGTTTGGAAGACATTAAGAATTTGAGTATAGATGAAAAAACACGAGCAGACACTTTAATTATTAAATCTCTTCAAGAATGTGTGACACGAATTGAGAAACTAGAGAAAGAAAAATCTGACAAATTAATATATAAACTTCCTGCCTTACAATTGTGCAATGCTTCGTTAATTTAAATTAATAATATTAACATATAATAATATTATTAATTGCTATCATAATCTGTCATTTTATCCTCTGGTATTGTTGTTGAAGTAGTACTACTTATATCATCTATTAAATCTTCATCAACAAAATTATTTTGAAATCTTAATAATTCCTCGTCTGGTGCCCTTCTTTTCAATACTATATAAAGTTTATGTATCCAAGAATTAGTATGAAAAATACAATTACCTCTACGATAAAATCCGCCACATCTACATAGTTTCATTGGCATATTACTATATTATATTAAATTAGAATATCTTTATTCATCATTCGTAATTTGAAATGCCTGTTCAAATCTGATATGAAACATTTTGTTAATGTCTTTAGCATTCATATTCACGTAGAAGAAACTATAAGGTGCGTCATTAACGGCTTGATGATACATATCTAATAATTGCTGTTTATCAACAATGGCGCTATTTTCTTCAATAAAACTCATTAACTCACTTGCATTTTTCAACCTAATGAACTGGCATTTAAACGAATGATAGGCACTAAAACATTATATTTTTGTGTTGAACAAATTACACTTACTGCATCGTGCCTGCCTCTTGTAAAAAGTCCGTGTAATAATTTACTATATCTAACAAATTTAGGATCGTCTGCGTGGTCATCTACAACGATTAATATTGAATGCGTGGTCATCTATAACGATTAATATTGAATGTAGTGTCTTATCTTTTTAGACTTCATATAATTAATTATTTTCTTCTGTCTTTCAATTACATTTTCTAAATCACTTGGATTATAATTATCAAAATAAATTTGTTCTTTTTCATCGTCCACGTGCAATTCATCCCTGATGTATTTTTTAACTTCTGTAAAAGTTGGGTCATTATGAACGCTGGGGGAAAATATAAATAGTCTTGCAAATGAATTTCTATAAACATTGTTTGAATTCATATTCAGTTATGTTTATTGGTTTTATTATTGGGACATCTGTCATAGTTGATATTAAAGAAATATAGAAAATTATATTTAAAAATTAACTTGTCATTAATATTAAATGGAACATCATTATGTTATGAGTGGCGGTGAATAACATAATGGAACAGGTTTTCCATTGCTTCAATCAATAAGCATTGAAGATAATTAGTTTTGTGTTTTGCTCGCGTGTGCAATGAAAACCAAGTGCTGTGCCCCACCAATAGCGATGAAGGGAGGGGCAAATGATAGATGAGATCCTGTGTTTTTTAGCTAAAAAGGTAGGTCATGCAGGGGGGGGTGAGCATATATATATAGAGACATGGGTGTGGCCTAAACCAAACAGGAGGGGTTACGCAGGTGTTGGTCCACGTTTCCACTTACCAGGGTTCCATTTCGGAGTTCCAGTTTTTTGAGCCACAGCCGCTGATGTATTTATACACGGGTTCACATCAGCCGGTTTTTCGTGACCTCCAGGATGCCTCCTTCTACCACTGGCAGGCAGGGAGCATGGGGAGGCGCACAGGCAGCTCTTCCAAGCTGGCCTTGGTGGGTGCCGTGGGGTGGGTGGGGGTGGGTGGGGGTGGGGTGGGGTGGGGTGGGGTGGGGTGGGGTGGGGTGGGGTGGGGTGGGGTGGGGTGGGGTGGGGTGGGGTGGGGTGGGGTGGGGTGGGGTGGGGTGGGGTGGGGTGGGGTGGGGTGGGGTGGGGTGTGGACACACAGCACAAAACTTGGTGGCTCCCAGCCATTAGCCTTTTCGCTGTTGCTAGACTTACATTTTTCAACCGGCAGTTTTGGGTTTGCATCATTTTGCCTTTCTGCCAAACAACCACTTTTTCAGACTGGGGATCTAAGTCTGGCCTACATGATATTTGGCGCTGAAAGAAGCTTCCAGCGTGGTCCGCAACGTTGAGATTCCGAACTGCCTCAGATGTGCCATTCGTCAACACTCCCTCGGGGAGAAGAACTGCTACCGCTTACCTCTTAAAAACACAACTTTTCAACTTTTTGGGTAACATGGGCTAATATGGCTGTAAAAGATTAACTTCCCCAGGGCTTGGAGTTTTAAGGGGTAAGACCGGGTTCGGTAAGAAACCATGGCCATGAACTCAACGTCAAAAAAGCCTCCGAACCCCCAAGAGATCAGCACTCTGAACACCCCTGGTGCCAACAACTTTCCTGCCTAAACGCAAGAGGAGTGTTGACCACCCACATGATGTTTGTTTTCCTCGGCTGGGCTTTGGCGGGTCTCTTGAACCCAGATAGAAGACAGACTAATGTGAGCTGGGCAGAACAACGACTTCACGTTCTGCAGGTGCGACGAAGTGAAAGTTACTATCCGAATCCAATCTGCGATGAAGTATTAGCAGAGATTTGAGAGGCTAAGGTCACTAGAGGTCAAGGTTTGTTTCTTTTCTTGGCGGTTTGCCCACGAGACTAGTTGCGAGACCCAGAGGGCCTTTTTGAAGGACATGTCTCTTCCAGGACCTGTACGGTTCAATGTATGACGTTTAAGGGACCCAGCACAGTCATGACAAAGGGAATTTCCCCGCGTTCCAGTTTTTCCTTTTGCGGAGCGCGTTAGATTCTGCTGCATGGGGCGATCCTTCTGCGGAGCTTCCCGAGCACGGTGCGCTGGACCTTGCCCCGGGCCTTCTTCGGCGGACACGCGGGGGAAGACGCGGAGGAGGAGCGGAGGTGAGGGCCATGGGAAGTGGCGGAAATGCGATAGGCAGGGAATGAAGGAATGAACCTGGGGATTCCCCTTTCTGGAAACCATACTGTGGGCAACCCTTGAATGGTGGTACCAACAAGCAATGGTTTCTCAAAGTGGTGCAGGATTTCGTCCATCCACAGTCGGGGATGGTTTGTAGGGGTCATTCCCACATTCCCTGCTGAGCACCAGCAAGTTGGTTCTACCAGCTCACTTGCCCAAAGCGAGTCGACCTTTTCACCAATTTTAAGTTTCCCCAAAAGGTGAAACCGATCATTTTCAAGAGTTTGCCCATATGGTAGAGCCAATCAATGGTAACCCCAGAGTAATAAACCCCTGGTTGATACATAGCGGGGTGTCCCCTTTGAGTGGGGGCTCTCACGTTTGGAGGGGTGCACCCCCTAGTCAATTCGTTCTACTGCTGTTGACCCCATATATTAATCAACCACAAATTAAATTCATCAGGGGGTTGGGGGCCCCTCAAATAGTGGTTTGGTTGCCCACTAATCCCCAACAACTTTCCATCAATAAACTGGGGTTGATGAATATGGGGGCAGCTTGCCCAAAGCGAATCGATCTTTTCACCTTTTGGTTTCCCCGTTTTGGTCATGACCCCATATTCATCAACCAAATTGAATTAATAGGGGGGTGGGTACACTAAGTGGATTAATATGGGGTCAACATTGGCTTGCCCAAAGCAAATCGACCTTTTCACCTTGTGGTTTCCCCGTTTTGGTCATGACCACATATTAATCAACCCCAAGTTAAATTAATAGGGAGGTTAGGGCCCCTCAAAAAGTGGTCTGATTGCACACTAAACCCAACACCCACTAAGTGGATTAATTATGGGGTCAACATTATCTCGCTTGCCCAAAGCGAATCGACCTTTTCAGCTTTTGGTTTCCCCGTTTTGGTCAATTGGTCAATTTTGAGTGGCCACAAAAGGTTAACCCTTTGGTTTTTAGGTCCTTTGGGCATCCGAGCAAGAGTTTTCTAGACTTTGGTCCATCGTGCCCTTGGTCATGTTGGATGCCCGGTATGTTGACCCCGGATAAAGCTCTTCCAAGTTGTAGGGTCTTCCCTGCCAAAAGTGTTGAAGCCCAAGGGCGGGGGATTTAGCCACAGAAGTAGCATTTCTGGCTCCAACTTCGGTTCATTGTCAACATTCCCCGCATGCGCAACATGTGGCATGAGTCCCGCAAACTGAGTTGCTCTTTGCGACAAGAAACCTTTTGCACCTCTGGGTTCTATATGGGTCAAAACCAATGGTACCAGTTTGGGGTAGGTGCACCACCCATTGTAGAACCTATTTTAGTAGGGATTGGGATGTTCACTGGGTATCCGAGTTCGGTTTATTTTGAGAAAAAAACGTCCCAAAAGGTGAGCACCTTTAATTGGCCACCTGTTCCCAGCAATGTTCCACGCGTAAAAGGAGTTCCCGCAAACTCAGTTGCCGAATCGCCGAATCGACCTTTCAACCTTCAAATGTTGTCCAATGGTTGTATTACACTACTATATTTTGAGCCAAGGTCCCAAAAAGATGATCGCCTTTGGCTGGCTCTCGGGGCTGAGCAACTCCCAGGAGGCTCGGACCTACCGCAGCTTCGCGCTGCTGGCCCTGCTGCAGCACTTGGCCTTGGAGAAGGCCGGAGCGAGCCATCGAAAGCCGAAGTTGCGCCATGGCTTTGGGGAGGTTTTTTCGTCAGATCAACGCGAAGGGCGGAAGTCTTGGGATGTTTGTGAGCCATCCGGCTCAAAAGACCCATTTTTGGTTTGGAGTTTTTAGTTGGAAGGTCGTTGATTCGGTTTCCGAACTGTTAGGCCACAAGTGAAATATATAGTTTTAGCAGGGGATCTGAGGACACCAGAATTCGCCGCGTTGTTGTGTTGCCTGCAGAAGCCAAGAAGCTGAAGACACGTGGCACACACACAGACTTGACATAGAACCCATTTCTTGTGTTGATCATTCTATTCTGTGGGAGAAGAAACCCTGCCCCGGCTTTTGGCTCAAGGCAATTTGGACACATCTGCTTCATCTCGCTGATTCCCTTGAAGTTCCAACTGGCCGGATTTATCTCTGGTTGACAGCCGATCGGGCAGGGTCTCTGTATCGCTTTGGTTGGACACGCTGTGAAAAAGGTGCGCAACTCCGAGATGTTCAGGCTGAAACCCTCTAACACACGCTTTGTTGACGGCTGTTTTGTTGTTTCTTGTTCTGTGGCTGTTTTTTGGGGCAAGTCAAAACTGTATATCGCTAGGTCCCCCATGCCCTTGTACCCCTTTTTGGTTGGGAGGGTTCCCCTACTAAAATAGACCAACCAGAAAAACAAAAGAAACGGTTACCAACTTATAGCCTCTCAAATCTGGAGGACCCAGAAAGGTTTTTCGCAATGACACCTGGTGATCGATGCCCATCTCCAAGGGCTCAAGTCGCCCAAAAAGGGCAGTCATGGGTGCTGCTAGGTTCCCATCGTTTTGGTGAAACCGATGGATGCCGGAAGTCCAAATGGTGTCATCCCCTTTGCATACCAACCGGAAATTGTGGCCTCTATAATTTGATAGCCCATGGGTTGGAACCTAGGCGACCCTAACCAAAGCCTTCCAAGCAGCGTTGGTGTGAATTCCCTCGCGTCGATTCAGGCGTGTGATTTTTTTGGAGGGCCCTTTTCTTGCGGATTTAAACGAACAGAATGAAAGCCCGCTAAATACATGACACACCCATTGAGAGAAAGAAACAACCACAATCCCAATGAGTAACCCAATGTGGGGCGTCCCTGCAAAAATGGGGGTGGGGGGCGGGTTTTTGGGGAAACTTCGGGATTTGGGTAGTTCCTTCAGAGCCTAAAGGAGCATTATGTTTCTTTGACACGTCTAAAGCTTGCTGGTGCTCAGCAGGGAATGAGAAATGGATTGACCCCTACAAACCATCCAACTGGTGGTTCCTTTATTCGGGAATCCCCCAACGGTTCATTCCCAGATTCCCTGCCTATCGCACTGGCAAGATAAGAACCGCATCACATTCGGGCTTTCTACGCCTCTTTTACAGGATCCAGGGTCTGAAGGCGAACCCACGCTTGGCCAAGATCCTTTCTGATACTCAATGGGTCCCTTATTGAAAATACAGAAGGGCCCCTCGTAAAAGTGCTGGGTTTTGGGAAACATCGGGATTTGGAAAAATTAGACCGAGCCTACCAGAGCCTTTTGTTTCTTTGACATTCACCCAGTTATGGGGCTCCCAAAAATATGTCAAATGATGAAGGGCTAATTTGGGCTCCCTTCCCCTCCCCCCCCTCCTCCCCAGCCCCCATAGTACCAGAGCCTTTTGTTTCTTTGGCACGTCTACGGGTCGCTCCAAAAAAAACAACAACTTATCAAGCCCTTCCTCCCTCCCTCCCTCCCCTCCCCTCCCGTGCCCTCCCCTCCCTCCCTCCCTCCCTCCCCCTATGGCTTCCTCGAAAGATATGACTTCCGTCCCTTCAGCCTCCAGGCGCCGCTGGCGCCGCTGGTGGCGGTGGAGATCGGGGTGTCCTGGGCCAGCACCTCGCGCGCGCTGCTGCGCGCCCTGCCGTCTCTGCCCAGGGCCAAGGGAAGGTGGCAGGGGGCGGGGGGGCGGGGGGTGGGCATTTGGCCCTCACCAAGGTCTGGCCAGGGCGTTTGGGCCCAGCTCTCCTGAGTCCTTGGACCTTCATTTGTGGGTGGACTAGTTTGGCGGCAAGCAGATAGTGGTGGACTTGGGCTTCATTGTTTTTTGGGCTTGGACCATTTTGGTGGCAAAGAAATCGGTTGGTCACTTGTTTCGGCCCCTCAACTCGGGCAGAAATTAGGATGTTGTTCTTAGGGTTGAACATATGAAATCAAATCGGAGCTCTTTGTGCAAATGATGTCCACCAGAGCTCGTTTGCTCAGTTGCAAAACCTACATTGTCCACCCAGGTCCACCCATTTGTTTGTTTTTGCAAATTGAAAAGCTGAGTTTGGGATTATCTTGTGAGGGAACAGCCAATATAATTGGTGTCCCTTTTTGTGTTAATTCAAAACAACCACAAACAATCCCTCCAAAGACCCAGCGAGACTTTTGTGTTGCCTTTTGCGCAGTTCCGAGGCACCTCATTCTGGTGGAGCCTGAAATTCAGGCCATTGCAAGGAGAGGATCGAACTGCATTGCCGATCAATGGTTCTGACACCCAATGTGGGTCTGCGTCAAAATGGTGTCTTTTGTTTTGAGGGTACCCCTTTTTGGATGGTTTATGGTTTTCAAGGGAAACCAAAGGGATAAGACACAGGGTGCCCTCGGTTTTGGACCATGTTCCTTTGGTTTCCCTTCAATTCACCCAAAAGGGCAAGCCAGATGTGTCAGTGGCCTAGTGAACACATGCGCGCACCTTCAAAACAGTTTGTCCTCTGCAACAAATTATTGGTTTTCCTTTCCAAGGCCTTTCAAAGAGTGCCCATTGTGAGACGCATATTGAGCTTTCTTGCTGGAGCGGCCGGCAAATCTAGGCCTAAAGAAAACCTCAAGTGGATGTCCGCCAAACGGTTCTCCAGAAAAATGACCATGAAACTCAACTAGGGAACCATCTCAAAAGTGATTGGTGCACATGAATACCCACCTAAATGATGTCCACCAAAGGGTCCCTAATTGACATTCATGCCCAACTAGGTCCCCCTTTTTGTCCCCTTCTCTCCCCTTTTTTGCTTGGGAGGCTTCCCCTAAAATAGGCTACAGGAAAAAACACTTGGGCACCAACTTCCAACTTTTTCGAACCCCTCAAATCTGGAGGACCTCGCCACATAGCCATGGCATGCCATTTGCGATGCTCGAGGACCCGGATGCTGGAGTTCCAGGACCGGGTCACCTGGGTCAACGAGATGAGCCGTGAAGCGGCGGCCAAAGTGGAGGACCCCCCTTGGGCAGCGGCGGATTTTTTCCCGAGGGAGGCCAACAGGGGGGTGGTTTCAGAATTAGTTCAAAAAAATAAAACCAACTGGTGCACGAACAGGTGGCTTCAGTTTTTTTTGTGTGTGTGTGTGTGTGTTTGTGTGTGTTTTGAAGAGCAAACAGAACAACTCCGGATGGACAACATCCTGCACCAGCTTAGTTGTGTTTGGACAAGGGCTTGAATCCGCGCAGGACCAGTCCGTTGACCTGGTGTTTATCGACGGCGACCACTCTTATGAAGCAGTGATCGTGCTTCGGAAGAAGGTCATGTCCGTTTCGTTGGCAGCCGGTGGTTTTGTCGTCCAGTGGGCTTTGCAGGGATCCTTAACTGGGGTTTCAAGGGGGAGTGTAAGGCAGCGTTAGAAAACAAAGAGATGAACAGTTGCTGTTCGCGCTCATTCTGCCACGTAGAGGGCTGGCAGAAGTATATTAGTAATAGCTGATCACGTCCAACATACCCGCTCGCAAGTGTTCTGCACTCCGTTTTGGCTTGCCCACAGTGAGCATTTGCCGGCTTCAGAAACGGTCAGCTAGGGTGGTGATACGCCTCAGGCCAGGCCAACATCAACTAATTTCGGGAGTAACCCAAGCAACCTACCCCAAGACATTTGACCCCAAACCTCTTAAGGGGCTTTGGCACGGTGCAAGGCTCGCTTGGCCAAAGCGAATCGACCTGTTCACCTTTTAGATTCCGCTTGCTTGTTGATCCAGATGTCGAGGCCACCCTGGACGAGCGAGGGGTCCTTGACGATGTTCCTTTGAAAAGTTCCACGACGTCCGGGCTTCGGAGGGAACCCTCTCCTGGGTGCCTTTCCTCAGGGAATCAGGAATGAACCGTTGGGGGATCCCGGAATAAAGAAAATCACCAGTTGGATGGTTTATAGGGGTCATTCCATTTCTCATTCCCTGCTGAAGGGGTCATTCCTGAATCGGGGATGGGTTAGGGGTCATTCCTCTTTGCACATTCCCCGCCTAGCACACATGAGCCACAATCAAAACCCGGGTAGATGAAGGTTAGTAAGGGACAATCCCAACCATAAATAGCTGCGGATCCGCCTCTTCATTCTTGAAGCATGGTTCTGGGATTGCGACCATTTTGATACCGGGTTTCGATTTTGACTCGAATCAGGAAATGAACCTGGGGATTCCCGAATACAGACAACCCCATCGGGGATGGGTGAGGGGTCATTCCTCTTTGCACATTCCCCGGCTACTGTGGATGGACGAAATCCTGCACCAGCTGGAACCTATGGGAAACCGTTGTTTGTTGGCAGTTACAGGGGAATCATCCTTTCAGGGTTTGCCAGGTGGTGCGAAATGGATTTCGTCCATCCTCAGTACTGACACACCCAGACAGCCCAGGAGGACATCCGGGCGTGGCGCAGGAAGCTGCGCGTGGGCGGGGTGTTGGTGGGCCACGACTTCACCGCGCCCCAGCGGGGCGTGGTGCGCGCGGCCGCGGAGTTCGCGCTGCGGGTGAACGCCACGCTCGGGACGGGGAGCTGAGGGGAGCCGGGAGCTGGGATCGTGGACCCGAAGGGTCAACCATCCTTTTGCGGGGTATTGGGCTTCCAGGGGTCTTGAGTGCCGTAATTGTGTGACATGGTCAGTGGGCATGCACTGAACAAGAAATGAAACAACTATAAGAAGGGCCACGGGGGCATAGGCGAAGCATTTGCGCCGAACTGCCCATATATCGATCGATCGCCTCGGGGCTGACGCAAGGTTCTGTCCGGAATGCTTTGTCCTCCCAATTGGAGTCCTTCTTTTTGTTTTTCTTCAGATGATCAAACAGTTGTCGCGTGGCCAATTTGGAGCTGTTCTTGCTTTGTGCAATGATTGGGATCCGGTGTTTTTGTTTCTTCCTAGGGGCTTTTTTATTATTACTAAGGCTGGTTCCCTGCTTATTTGGTTGGTTTGTTGGTTGGTTGGTCGGTCGGTCGGTCGGTCGGTTGGTTGGTTGGTTGGTTGATCCAACAAGCCCCTTGCAGCAAGTGGTTTTTGGGCTGGTTGCCGGAGCTCTTGAGCTGCCCATGGCGAAGCACTCTGGTCGTTTTGGGGGAACCGTCGGGATTCAGAATGGGCTAGGTCCCCCAGCTAGGTGCACGACCTCTCACCCCTTTTTGTGCTTGGGAGGGTTCCCCTACCAAAAGAGACTACAGAAAAACATGGTACCTGTATTCTATCCTCTCTACTGGAGGACCTAGTGGGTGATCACCCTTTGCTTCCGAGATCCTGTGGGCAAATGAAAACTCAATCTTCCTTTCAGAGTACGGCAATGCACCAGGTGTTTTTTTTCCCAACAGAGACACCGCTACTCTAGGGGTACCTTCCATTTCCATCCTTTCCAGGGATCCGTTTTTCTTTTCAGGAATCCATCAAGAGCCGAGGGGAACCAGCCGGTTGAAAAGAACGATGGTTGAGAAGAATGGAAAAGGAATCAACCCCTGGAGCTCTATAGGGGATTGGGTCATATTGACATTACCCCCGATTTGACTGCGTACAGCTCGCAGGCTGTCGCCTGACTGCTGGTGGCTCTTCAAGCCTAAGTCTGGCTGGGAGTGAGCCGCTGAAAACGCGCGCGGGAAGAAAAGAACGGAAGGCTCGCAAAAAATGCCACTTGTCACTTTGCTGCTTGGCGGGATCTTTGGACTATGAACTTTTTGGGATCGTGTGTGACTTCCCACAAACCAACAATAAAGCTCTTTGCACGAAGCGGCTTTGCCGAATGGATATCCCTGGGCATTCAAAAGGTTCGCGACTGTGGATGGGACAAAATCCATCTCCCACCTGTTGGTAGGTGCCCTTTTTTGTAGGGTGCATCCGTCCCAACTGGTGCAGGATTTTGTCCATCCGCAGACGGCGCAATGTTTGGGATGATGACAGCCCTTTGAAGTCACTCGATCTGTCAAGGTGCTCATGTTGTTCGACTTGCCCGGAAAGCAATATGAGGATGTTTCAACGAATTCTAGACACCGCCATTTGCAATGCACATTTGTGTGTGCAGGGACTATGATATATGACAAGCACTGAGGCTGGTCGTCATAACTTTGGTGTGCCGCCTCGTGCCGCCTGTTACAAGGGGATACATCCCCAAGTTTGACAAGCCCCGAATCGGGCATTTGGGGTATCTAAGCATCTAAGACGATTTCCACTGCCGACGAGCAACTGCCCCAGACAAAATATAACAATATGACCGAACCATTTAGTGGCATACCCCATTTTCCGCTAGGATCTCTTGCGATTTGTATTGACGGTTTGGCGGTATAAAAGTCAGGGACTTTGGTTCAATGGTTTAAGACCTAAATTCGTGTCTGTCTCAACCGTGGATTGCCTTTTACGGTTGTGAAGCGGGTTTCCCCAAAACATCCCAACGGAGCATTCGCCCCCCGATTTTTCGTACGCCGTCTCGCCTCTCGAACGCTGCTCGCTTCCCTTCCTAGCGCCGTCAAGCGCTCCCGCCACTCTCGGCCATGATGCGATTTGCGGTTTGCCAGGCGCGGTGGTTGGGCTGAGGGCTTTTCAGGATTCGTGTCTGGATCCACGGTTCAACCCTATAATTCAAAGAATGGCAACCCAATTTGGATGATGACAATCAGGTAAAAAAGTTGTGAATTGTATATTAACCCCCATCATTTTATTGGTGGTTTGCCTCCCAGGGTGGAGATGTCTCAAGTGTGCACATGGATGTTCTGTTGGTGTTGTTTGGACTCCCAACTCTTCCCCTTAGGTGGTTCTATTTTCACAGAAACTGCAAATTTTGAACCGGGGCACGCAGGGATGGCAATCTGCCCGTATTTCTTTACCACTCTTTCCGTGACCAGCTTTTAGTTTGTCCATATATTTGGCCATAGTCAACTCCTCTGCACTTTTGAAAGATCTCCTGCGTAATGGAGTATCCTGACTAATCCGAAGGGCCCTACTAGTCAATGAGGTTCTGATAGCGGAAGCACCTCTCATCCGGTAGGGTCCCGGATTGGTCTGAAGTCGACGTTAGTGTGCACTGAATTGACACAGATCTATCCATCCATTTCCCTTTTAAGACCCACAGTGGCAGAACCGCTCCAGTACACTGATTCGACTTCTGACCTCCAACCCTCTTAAAACCCCAGATCGAAGAAGCAGGAAGGGAAAACAACAAAAAATGCCAGGGCGGTGACCCGGCCATAGAGTTCATTAGACTTGTTTAGCTTCTCAGGGTTTCGGGAGATTTCTGACATGCTCTACCCCACCAATCGGTGAACCTGTGGCAAGGGGTGTATGAATATTCCGACCGAACCATGGGTTGGGATAGGAATCCTCACAGGTTTTCGGTGAAGAGTCTTCGCCAAAAGGTGATGTTGATCACCGAACAAGGCGAGAAAGTCGTGCTTTTCGGATGGGTGGAGGTGTGGACAGTATGCCTGTTGGCATGGCCTTGGGTCACGAATGGCCCAAGAGCGCGGTTTTCCCAACCACTTTCCTCCCAAAAAGCCGAACGTCGACATGAGAGGCATTGTACATGACCAAGGCGCTGGATATCCGAACTGCTTTTTTTTTTTCCTTCCGGTTTCCATGGATCCCAAAAAGCAAGCCGGGAGGCGCTCTGGCTCCGCGCCGCATCCCTTGATCCGCTGAAAGTCTGGACCTTTGCGCCGGATGCGGTGACTGAGGCGATGTTTGAGTCGCCTCGTCGCTCGAGAACTCCATGGCTTCGGGATCCAACGAGGGTCCTTTTTCGAGCGCTGGGAAGTTGCCCGCCAGCCTGGGTTGACCTGAGCTGTTTGCGGACATTTTTATTTTTTTTTGTTTAAAGTTTTATAAACAACTTTTGCATAGATGTGTGTTTGATGATTCGTGGTTGGTTGCTCCAGGTAGATTGGAATGTTATTGGTATATGCTTTAGGAGTTCTACTGTTTGGGTTCTGCTCATGATAAAAAAAAGTACCGGTACGTGTTGCATTTCTGTGTTTGGTTGTTCATTTGGGCATGGGTCAAAATTAACCCACCAGGGGACCGCAGATTTGAGTCAATGTTTCCATTAGCAGGTTTCCATTTTGGGTACCTATTTTGTTTTGACCCACAGCCATTTTAGAGGGCTGCAAAGCACCAAGTGATTTGCCTAGTGCACCTTAGGTTTGGGAAGATGGAGCACCACCACTGCATGAAAATGGAGACTCTTCCATACCCTTTCGTGGCAACAAGCTCGGTTTTTATCCTTTTGTCCGGTAGCTTGAGCCAGACTCGTCCAAAGCCGACACATTCAACAGCTGATCTCGGAATTTCGGAACTTGGGATAGACTTGATGGTTCATGCTGGAGTTTGGTTTCCAAACGCATCGGTCAATCAAATGTCGTTTGTTTTTTTTGCATTATTTCGGTTGGACTTGCACCGAGCATTTCCATTCGTTGGACTTACTTGCGACCTGTGTGCAAGTGGGTTCACCCAGAGAGGCTATAACAAGCTCTTTGAGCTCTTGTTTGGAAGATTGAAGAGTCCGAGCTTGCTAGCCAACAGATCCATGGGGGTTGCCAATCCGTTTTGGGTTCCGGGGTTCCGCATTTCAGTCCGGGCGAGAAGGAACGCCCTTGTGCCAGCAGCATCCACCCCCCCCCGCTGGTTTTAAAAGGAATTCATCACTACTGGAAATATGTTCATCATTTCCTGGGGCCTTAACCAAATGGAAGGGTAGCCTCTTGCTTGGGATGCAAAAATTCACGTCTCTCTGGATGGGAGGTGGTCTTCACAGCTACTGGCGCAGATCAGGTTCTGTCTGGGCGCAGAGTCTTGGCAGAGCACTTGTCCCTTAAGGACAACTGGGGATGCGCGTTTCTTGCCGGACCCAAAAGTCTATTTGCTCTATCGCGATGGAGTTGGATCTTTAGACTTTGACTTTTTGGATTCCCTTCATATTTCCTTTTAACCAGCAAAAAGTTAAGCTTTTTGCTGGAGGATCTACAGCACCCAAGTTTGGCACCCAGTGTTGGTTGCACGTGTAGCCCTGGGATTTTTGGTGCACCAACCAAAGATGGGCATTTTCTGCTGGCCCGCAGTTGCTGCGGTGCAAGACCACCCGCTCCGAGCCATTGCCAAAGATACCCAGACACCAAACTGTGTTCACTTTTCCAGACACCAGTGGAGCAAACTACCCTTGTGACAGCGGCGAATAGGAGGTTGCTCCCTGTGTCTTTCTTTGGAGTACCCTCCCTCCAATCATAGGAGCTGACAATTCCGTTCTGAATGCTACCTTCACACGAATTAACATGCAACCTGACAGGGACCCGGTCCCTTCAAGAGGGACATGGTGCAAGCCACCCCCCCGCACGTCGAACGGTTCCGGCTGGTAATTGGTGGGAGGGTACTTTTCTTTTGGAACTGTCAACACTTCCTTCCATTTGGTTATATAATATTTGTTAATTTTTGTCCTGTTCCTTTTAAAGGGAATCCAATCTATCACTACTGTGATTGTTTTTTTCCAGGGGACAAAAAAGCGCAAATGAAAGCTTCTCTTTGTGCGAGGATCAGCTTATGCCAACTGGGGCCAGAACTGCGTAGTTTTGGCATTGATACCCAATTGGCAGGTTGGGAAGCACGGGAAACCAAGCGAATTGAAATGGATTTTGGGGGCGGCCTCCAAATTTTCGATGTGGACGATAGCCAAGATGGATCCATCGGGCACGGTTGAACTGTTGGGGCTATTTCCATGGAGCTTTCGAACAATGACGAAGCCTTCCATTGTGTTGCTGGAAGGGAAACCAAAAGATACCGCCCATTTGTCTTGTCTATGTTGAGAAGGTTGGAGACATCCCAAATATTGCTATGAATGTACCGAGCCACCTTAGAAGTGGTTGGTGGACACGAATCCCCACCTAAATGATGTCCATTAAAGGGTCTCCTAGTGAAGCATCATAGCTGTAGGTGGGTGGTTCAAAAAGGGGGGGAACCTGCAAAATGCATGATTTTCCATTTCGTTCTCGTTAGCTCGCTGGTGCTCAGGGAATGACCGAGTCCGGCTGTTGGGATCGAACCGTGGGATTCCCTTATGAAAAGACACCAAATCGGGCATATATGGGGTTATGCAATCGGGGTGCCATTTCTCCTCTCGTCGATCGAAGCAGCCAGTTGATCACCATCCCTTCGCCTTTTTAGGAGTTGTTGGTTGGTTTCATTAAAAAAATAGAAAAATATATATATATATATATATATGTATATATATGTTTCAGCCTCAAGTTCTGGTCACTTTGGCACTTTAGTTTCTTAGGGTTTCGTTTTTTGGGTGTCCATTTGACCCACCAAACCATACTCTTGCTTTCGCCGGGGGTCTGAAAAGAATGGGGCAGCGCACAAAATCGCTGCGCGCCGGACGCGCCGAACGCACCAGGCACCACGGAATGCAACTTCCAGGCGTTCACAGAGACGGCGGGAAAGGTGGCCATCGCTCTCCGGGACAAAGGCAAAAGGGCGCGGAGGGCTGGATGAAAACGGCTCGTCGGTTTTTTAGCAAACCCACCTTTTTGGTTAGCTTTTGAACGGGAAGCCGAAAGGAAAGCCGTAATTTGTTGGCAAAAGGAAAGCCGTAATTTGTTGGGGCTCCCTCAACAAAAAAGACCCACCCATATTACGCTGCCCCCCAAAATTGGTGGCTACCTTCTCCCATGTGAAAGTCTCCGCTTTTTGGTGGTTTCCCTCAGCAGCCCAAAAGAAAGACCGTTTGATCAACCTTGGGTATGCCTGGAGCCTCACGCTACCCAGCAACAACAGCGTATTGCCTCAACATGCCGGGATGAGTTCTCTTTTTCGATGGGGAGATTGAGGGTCCAGATTTGTGTGTGTGTGTGTTTTGGTCTAGCTGAGCTGGAGTCTACCTACTGACCAGTGGGTCATGACCCCTTTTTATTGTTTGTTTGTGTGTTTCGCTTGGGGTACACCCCAAAGGATACCGGAAGGCCATGACACGGGGTTCCCCAATTTTGAAGCGCTTGCATTTCTTGGATAGCATGCGTTCCTCCTTGACTCATGGCATGGTTTAACATCCCATGTAGATTTGATTGTCGTTCAGTTGGCAAATCCATTCAAGGGCCATTTTTGGAGGGCCGTTCACCATGTTGACGCTTCTCATGGTTCGAAATGCTTGGACTAGCTGTTGTTTTCTGGTGAAAGGAACTGATTGCACGTGAGAGGGTGGAAAGGGAGTCACCCGTCAGTGAGCATTCGGGCTCGTTCGCCAAATCAAATTCGACTCCACGGGCGCAAAGCGCAAATGCCGCCGTGGTTGGTGGAGTAGGACGGTTATCTTTGCCCATAAGCTTTGGGACAGCAATCAGGCAGCACGAGACATGGAATATTTCTCAAAACTGGGGACCACTAAGACTTGGTAAAGTGTCTCGGTGGTTTCCCCAAGCATCCAAAACGTATTTCTCAAAACCGGGGACCACCAAAAATGGATAAAGTGTCCCTGTGGTTTCCCGTAACCATCCAAAACGGGGTCCGCCTTTTTGAGGAACCTATTGTTCAGCACAACACCATGCAAGAGTCTGATTCAGGGGTCATAGAAAAATGTCTGTGGGCAAGCCTCGCTTCGATTCAACTTGGGGCCGACTCCACCTGAGAATTGCTCGCCTAACCGACCTGAACTTGGGGCCGACCACCTGCAAACTCGGATCGATTCGGATTCACGCGAGAGATGGCCAACTAAGAAGCCCTCCAACCGTCTCCGAGATTGATCCTGGACAAGGAGTTGTCCCTCAACTGGGTCTGGCTCAAAATCCAAGAGTCAGGGTTACACAGGCTTTGGTCTTTGTTTCCATTTGCCAAGAGGCCATTTTACAGCTGGGGTTTAAATGGACACCAAAGGACCCCAGCCTTGTCGGGGGACCCTCAACATACGAGAACCCCGAACATACGAGAACCCCCAATTGGAATTCATCAAGTCTTGCCATGCCATGCTGCTTGCGCCAAACGAAGCTGTTTGCTTCCCCAAAAGAGGGTCGCCGAACGTCCGTCTCGATCTGGGCAGCTCGGCGACTGACTCGTGAAGTGTCCTTCTGTTGCGCTTCCCCGGCTTTTTGGCATCAACCAGCTCACCCAAGATTTCATGTGTATCAGATCTGATATGTTTATTTTTCCCCCACGGTGGCCGGGAGCCGAAGGAACTATTGATCAACCCCATAGTGGGTGATATTATTTCAGGCAACACATCCTCCTGTTGAATCGAATGATTGGTGTTCAATCGACAGCCAAAGGATAGATTGGCGAAGTGTGAAAATCGGGAAGCCCCAAAACAGTGGGGTACGTCTTCCTGTTGCTACTCCTTTTGGTTTCCCTTCAACCAGCCCGAAAATGGTAGCGACGACCCGGGCTGTTGGGTCACACCCGGGCTCTTGAACCAGGTCAGGGCTGCTTCTCGAACGAGAGATACTCCAAAGGCCGGATTCGCATTGGGACGGAGGTGAGGTGCCAATCTTGTTTCGCTTCCCAGAGGCTCCAATTCGATGTATTTAGGGCCCGCAAACAGCCAGGTTTTGAGACCGGGTCCCAAACACCGATTCCCGCGGTGTCTAGTGGAGGGGGTGGGTCTTCCATTGAAAGCCGAAGCCGATCGGAGCCTCTGGGTTGAACGTTTCTGGGGAGCTGTCCACTCGTCACCCTAGAATCACCCTAGAATCCATTGAAAGTGGAGTCTTCCCTTTGGACTCAAAGACACCAAGCCACGGCGAAATTCTGACGACCCACTCTTGAGTCGGGAGACTGGCTACCTGAAGGCGAAGCTGAACAGCAAACAGGGCATTGGGGGACAACTCCCGAATTCGGCAAAGCCAGGGACCCACCCGATTTTGTCACGCGCTCGTATATGGGCAGGTGTAAAGATAGTCCCTGAACATTGATACGTTCCGTAGTTTAGTAAATCTACCTCAATCGTACCGTAGCCACGCATATGAAAAATCAACAAGCACCAGCTGGTTCAAGCTCTGACTTGCTCGGCCACTCTCGGGTTACGTCCCAAGCAGTTGCTTCACGCCAGCTCGAGCCAAACTCGCCAAGCCCTTCGGAGGTGTTTGTTTTTCTTCCTTTTTTCTCCTCAGGTTTCACATGCGCTGCTCGGCACAAAACCGATTCGGGTAGATGAAGGGAGAATCCCCATGGGTGCCCTCGCCGCCTTGTTTTGGGATTACGACCAATTTAGTACCAGGTTTGATTTTATGACTCACATGGTTCACAACATTTCACAACCAATGGGATCCAATTTTGGGATGGGTGCACCAGGGCCTCGTCTAAGCAGCCATCAGTCGGGGGTTGAACTAGCAATTGGCTGACGAGAGCCAACCAGGGTACAGGTTTTGGACCATGCCTATGTGCCATTTAATCTGTCCCTCTTTTGATTCATGGTTTTTCATAATGGCCGTCCAAAACGTGTCCGGAGGTGGAGTATTGGCCTTATTTGAGGCTTATTTGGTCTCCCCCTCACCTCCCTCCCCCCAGCCCCCATGAATGCGCGTCCCCCGTGTCCCGCGAACTCGCCGCTCCTGCAGGAAACTTCCCGGTGGGCGAGGGCACGCTGACTCTGGGCACGGAGCAGCTTGAATGATAAACGCAGGGGTTATAGGTGTCCTATGGTGTCCTTTTTAGGTGAGCCTGGTTAAAAATAGATGGCACCGGTTTAGACTTGTTTTTTCCATTTACCAGCGCCATCTATTTTTACAACAGGCCACCTAGCAGGGGCCATGGTGGTTCCAGAAATGCTCGCGATTGGGGACATAAACCAACTGAAGTGAACTAATTTTCCTTTTGGATGGCTACATGAGTGAAATAAAAATCGAGTTGTCTAGGTCCGCCAGCTAGGCCCCTACGAAAATAGACCACAAGAAAAAAGGGTACCCGTATTCTAACCTCTCTACTGGAGGACCTAGTAAGCCAAACTGAAGTCCCCGAGTGGTTGTTGTTTTGCCCAGACAACTACTTTTTAAATACATCGACATCATGGAACATGGCGGGTGGCCAAACTTGTTAGCTGGATCCAATGGGTATAATTGCAGGGGACGAAAAAGGACTATCAGTGACGATCAATTCTTCTATGGTCCTGGCTTAAATGGGTTTTCCACTACCCCACAAGCCCATTCGGCATTCAAGCCCTTGTAGATATTTGTGGGATTGGGACAGCGGGAGATTCAAATGTTTTTTTCTTTCCCCCCCATGCCCATCACGGGCACCGCATATTTGTTGATTGGCTTATACTGATTGATGTGGGCCAGCGGGGGTCGACAGCCGCCTGTCAAAAAGGAAGAACTACGCGCTCCTGGTTACGCGGCCACCTCTATTGGGTGGCTCGTTTTTTTTTTGAAGGTTCTCGCCTTTTTGTGGTTTTAAGGGAACCCCGGTTTCATGAAGATTGCCACACACCCAGCTCGCAGTTGCCCTCGAAGCATTTGAAGCAGGCGTGTTCAGCGGACCAAACACCTTGAGAGAGAGGCTTCTTGACACAAAATGAACTCTGGCGATGTGCCAAAGTGTTTCCACAGCTTTATAGATTTAGGGTCCACATCCAAGAGTCACATGGCCAAAGACCACCCTGCTCCGCAGGCTTCGGGCTATTTGTGACTCTTTTGGAGTGAGGTTGAGAAGTTCAAGAGGGGACAAAGGCCTGAAACCACACCATGTTTGACATGTCAACGGGGTACCATGAGCAGACCCCACAAACTAGGTACACCAGAGTTCCAGGTTTTTGCTTCTCTCGCAATGGTTCTCAAGCTTTGCGCATCCCTATTGGGTTGCTGTTGGGGCTGAACACCCACGAAAGCATCGGTCCTCAGGGTCTGGATACATTTGGGCCATTCGCTCAAGGATTGTCCAGTCCCCAGGTGCTTTCTGCCAAACCCTTTTTTTGACGGGGCATATCCTCAAAATGTCCGTTCATATGCCGGCTTCAAGGGCCCCCCCCAAGTAATCTCACTTCCTGAGTTTATGGACTTTCTACTTTTCGGCAGACCGTTTTGAAGGCAAATCAGAAGTTTGGTGGCTTCTTGTTGGCCCATCTGCTCAAGTGAGAAATTCGAGAAGCCCTACTCAAGCTTGTTTTGTTCAATCAAGTGAGCAATTCGACTCGAGCTGCTCTCTGCCCCAGTTCCATCATTTTGTCTTTCCCTGTTTCTTTCGCTGGGAGTCCCTGGGTCGAATTTCGGCGCGCGGCGGAAAGGCTTGGCTTGGCCCCTCGAGCGTGCGGCGGAAAGGCTTGCGCGCCGGCTGAGGACCCTGGCGGCCTACAAGATCAAGGCAGCCACTTCGGAGGCGACGGAGTTCGCCGCCAGCGGCCAGCAGCTGTACATGCAGCTGCCAGGCGAGCGAGGGGAGCAAGGGGAAAAGGGGGGGAAAAGGGGGGGAAGAGGGGGGGAAAAGGGAGCGCCCAGGTGTCCCTCCGTGCTTTTTGCTGTTAACTGTTTTTTTTTTGGGGGGGGCCACTTTAGGAGGCTCTACCTGGTTTGTTGGGGGCTGTGAGGCTTATACAAGGCTTCATTATGTAATTATATAGAATCAGGTTTGTGACCGACTTTCCCATTTTTGGGGGAAACCCCTGTTTGGGCGGCTTGTAAAGGGAAACCAACGGACACCCATAGGCAACCCGGGGCACACATGTAAAACCCGGAGGGAAGCTTACCCCAGGCGACCGCGTTGCGGTTTCGATGGCTGGTTTCGGGTTTTCAGGGGACAGCGCCATGCACGGCGTGTACACGGTGAAGGATGGGAACCTGGTGAAGCTCGCAGAGATCCAGGCGCCCGATATCGGATTGCAAGATACTCCAAGAGGATACATCAACTAGGTCCCCCAGCTAGGTTCCCTTTCTCACCTTTTGTTTGGTTGGGAGGGTTGCCCTACTAAAATAGACTACAGAAAAAGGTTGGTACCCTTGTTCTAACCTCTCTACTGGAGGACCTAGTCAAGCATTTTCTTTGCTTGACATGGATTCGGATAACGCCAGTACAAGGAGATTTGTTGACTCGCCCACCCTGGTTGAGTCTGCAGGGTTGGGAAAACTGAGGTTGGGAAAAAAGTCATGCTTCAACAACCACCCCCCTAGCCAGAGAAATTTGGGGAAAGCCCCGTTCCCGGTTATTTACATGCACCCTCTAATTCCCTTTTTGTTCTCTGAGGTCGGAATCCACAGACACATACGAAAACGAAGTCATTTGCCAAGGCTACTGGGTAGCCAGGAACTGCTCGTATATGACAAAAATCAACAAAAGTCGGAGCAACCCCAGCCATCCGAATTGTTTCAAGCTATTAATTGTGGTTGTTTGAAACTAACCAAAGTTCCTGGGGAATCAGCATTAGAACTCTGCGCGCACATGAGCGTTTGCATTGTTTGGTGAGGCCTGAACGAGTCCCTCCTATTCCCCACTACTTCCAGTTAGCACTATAGCAGATACCTATATAGGTGTTTTTACCTCCAGGTTTTGCCTGATGACTTCGGCATACTACCAGAAAGCCAGCAGTGCCGGGGAAAAGCTTCAAACATAGACCAGCCATTCAATGGGAATATACAGGCATGGTTTAAATCTATGACGGAGTTTCTCTGAAGCTTTTTGAGGTATTGTGCCTTTGAAACCGGGCTGGCTCCTTGTGTCTACATTCGCAACTTCTTTCCCCTGTCGATTTCTGGGCCATTGTGACGGGTACAGTGTTCAAGTGTATGGCTTTGACTTCAACTTCGCAGGGAAGTTCATCGAGAGGAAGGGGCTTAGTTCATGTGGAACGTTGCCATGGGACGGCACTGAGGTGATCGAAATGCATTTCTTTTGCCCATCGCCACACTTCCCCCCCCAAATTCCGAGGCCGAAAGAGAACAGCCTTCGCGAAGGCTAAAAGTAATCTTCTGCCAAGTTCCTGAGCCAACTTTTTTGAGGAAGACCATCTTAGGGGACGAACAGTTCGGAGTGGTTTTGGCCAATCCACTCAGGAAGTGAGTACTTGGCTAGCTCAAAACACGTCCGCAAGGCACCTTGCGAAGCCGCGAAGGCAACGCTTCCACCGAGTCTGGACCCGCGAAGCCTCCTGCGTAGGCTCACCAGCAGTGTGGAACACTGCTCAAGTCACTTGCCCAGGCCGTCATTTTCACCGGCCCAGTTCGTCATAGTATGCTTTTCTCATTGCCCAGACCGTCATTTTCACGTGCCCAGATTGTCATATTTTAATATCAAAGGTTTTGCGCTGTGTGTTCACAACCTTGTGTGTCGCGAGTGGGCAAGACGCGCGTTGGGGGTTTGTGCCTATAGGCCGGCGACACCGAGTCGTTCGTGGCTACCGGGATTAACATCGAGGCGCGTCGGCCGGGCTTTGGCGCGTGGGTGCCAAAGCCCGGATGAAGGGCCGGATTGCCCGTTGATGTCAGTGCAAAGTGGCCACGAAGTGGCAAAACACCAATCAGGGTTGGATGGTGACGGTATGCATCAACCGACCTTGACCAACATGCAGCACATGCATGGCAGGGTGACTTGCTGTATGTCATTCATTTGAATGGAAATGGAAGATACCCCCCCAGAGCTACTCGGCTGTTCGCCACCGTGACCTTACCTCTCAGATGCGGGACCGCTGGCGCTTCATGCTGACCCCGGACTAACATGGCTAGGTGTTTCAGTGGTGCCCTTCTCTCCCCCTTTTTTGGTGGGGAGGGTTCGGGACCCTGCTAAAATAAACTAAACCGAGAAAGAAAAAGGAAAAACACGTTGGCACCCTTATTCTAACCTCTCTACTGGAGGAACTAGACAAATCCCCAGGGTAACAAGCAGAAGCCCACCGCCGTTCGAGTCGACCTTCGCAGGTTCATTCGCTACGAGGCCTCCAGTCCTCTCTTGGATTTCGATAGGGACCCAGGAAGTTTCCGGGATTCCATGCCAGGCACTTGGGCTTTCAATGTTACTAGTGATCTAGTTCACCAGAAGGGCTTAGGTCAGTCTTTCACAACAATCTCGCCAGCGTTCTCAGACAGTTTCGCAGGCCTTTGGCTTGAAGGCTTCGCCGTACGGCCCGATAGCTTTCGGGCCGTACGTAGACCATGTAGACTGCCAAACTTTATGCCTCATGCGGCCACTCCTATGGCTGTGTCTGGCTGCTGCCGAGAGAGTTCATTTGGAAGAAGAGGTATGGACAGCGCCGCCCGGCATTTTTTTTCAAAAGAAAAAACAACCTTTTTATTTTCGTGGGTTCATGGCTTCCCAGTCTACATCATGGCTTCCCAGGTCACCAGTACCATGAAACTGGGTGCTTTGTACATGGTCTCCCTGATGTTTGTTTGAACTTGCTTTTGGTACTTTCCAGGGAGGGCCTTTCTGGCTTTGTGTTTTCATGCAGGATCACAGGCGTTCCAGGGTCCAAAGTTACAGGACCCGACCCTTCCAAAGGACAGCCAAAAGGAGTTAGTTCAATCACTAGTTGTTCCAGCATGTTTGAACAAGGCTTGGCCCGTTGCCCATGCTTGAGGTATCACAGCAGCTATGCCAGCGAGTCCATTGATGATTGGCAGCAGTTGCCCAGGCCGGGGGGAAACAAACAGCGAGGAACAGTTGTGTTATACCTAGAAACTCTTTCAGCTGAAATTTCGGCCGGAATCTGAAATGCATCAAATTTAAGCCGAAGATACAGAAATTTGCCGGAATCAGCAAAAACAGACGGAATTGGACCGCTGAGGCTCAAGGAGAGTAATACTCGTAGCCGCCGGAATGGACTCAAGTTTCTTATTCGGAAAGTTTCGCTGGAATTGTGGGAAGATTCGCCGGAATTGCGGGAAGTTTCGCCGGAATTGCGGAAAGTCGGGTGACACAAGCCGCCAAAAAAACAACGCAATAATCCTGCTTAAACTGCCAGTTGAAGAATGGCCGAAAGGCTAAAAATTGGCCGGCAATGGAAAAAGGATACTTTTTCAAAAACGGCTATTATTTCGTGGCACTTCGATTTTCTAGGTATGGCTCTGGGTCAAAACCCTGTACCCTTGGTGAACATCAAAATAGGTTGCAAATGGATGTTCATCCACCCCAAAATGAAGCCATATGTTTTGACCCATGGGCTTGCCTCTAAATGAAGCACCCAACGTTGGACAATCTCCCTTGAACAGGCTCGCTGCAAACTAGGCACTCTCAAGAAGACAAACCCACATTAAGAAACTGGCGGGTTTGCTTTTGGGCTTCCCTGAACCAGCGAGCACGCGCAATCCACTATGCAGCGAGCAGGACGGGCCTCTCTTTGATGCAGCAGGACCGGAGTTGCCCCGAGGGCTCAACCATGAAGACCCCACGGATAAGGGCTACGGCTGATTGCGTGTATGGGATCAGCGTGTGTCAAAATGCAGGAGCCGCCAAAATGATAGTGTTTCAGCTGTATGAGCGACAACATGTAAAGGGAGGAACATGACATACCAACATGCGCAGACGTGCCCAAAGTCTGCAGGAACGACGGGTTGCACCCGCAAAACACCGGAAAAATGGTTTCAAGTGGGCCCAGGGAGACCGCGGACTTATTTCGAAGTTCAGAGGAAATCCAAGTCGACGTTGGGTGTTGGGTCCCAGCGTTTGGTTTGGAGTGTGGGATTGTTTTTTTTGGGGCATGGCCAGGGATTCTCTCCAGGTTTGAAGAGCGGGGACCCCTCTTTGAGACAAAGACGGCTTCACTTCTTCGAAATCATGGAAAAAAAAACAAACAGCCTTTGAGAGGGTACAGATTTGTGTCAAAATGCTGACACCATTCCCCATCTAGGTGATTCTCTCTTTTGGTTTGCCTTTTTTGGAGTGTTCTTTAAAGAGGTGTCAACCTAAAGGCGGCGGGACAAAGAGGTAAAGCGGGTGACCCCTTTTAGGTTACACCCCCTAGGTGACCCTCCAATTTAATTCCCTGGTTGCACCCAGGCTACGTCCCTTGGAGGTTTATCCTTTTCAGTGAGCACTTTCTCGTCGGGGAATTCAGAGGGGGGGAAGGAAGCTTTTGGCATCCCCCAAAATCCGCGAAGCATTTTGTTGTTGGGAAACAGTTCTCCCATTTTTGCTTGTGGTTGAGTGGTTGAAATCCAACCACCGAACTGCTAAAATATGTGTTTTTGCGTTTTCCCCCTTCCAAGGTCAACCAAGAAGCGGAACCCCATCGCTCAATGTGGATTTGGGCAAATTCAATGAAGGATAGTTGAGACTCTGGGAAACCTGGGGATACCATGGTTGTCGTTTGGAAACATCTTACATTTTGGCTTCTTGTGGTTCAGTGGTTGAAGTCCAAATCCACTTAACTGCTTTACAAATTTATTTTTTTGCTCCCCTTCCAACGTCAACCAAGTTACATACCCATTGCCCAACAGTAAGGGTGTTCCCCTCCTTGGGTCTTGGAGTCCCCCCCTCACCCCCCCACCCCCCCACACCCCCCACCCCCCCACACACCACCCCCCCACACACCACCCCCCCACACACCACCCCCCCCCCCCACACCCCCCCCCCCCTCACCCCCCCACCAACACCCCCCCCCCCCACCCCCGCGCCACACCCCTTCCCCCTCACTCCCCAGTTTCGACCGGAGGACTTCTCGGACCTGCCGGAGACGCCGGAGAGCTCGCGGCCCGCCAAGCCGGGGGACGCGGGGGGCGGCTGCGCCAAGGCCACCGGCGCCAACGAGGGGAAGATCTGCCGCTCGGCGTTCGCGTCGCGCGCTTCGAGACCCGGGGGGGGGGGGGGTAGGTTTTGGGGGCTGGGGTTGGGGCAGGTGGCTGGGGGGGGGTTGGGGGGGCGTGGGGGGGCTGGGGTTGCGGGGGGGCTGGGAAGGCTGGGGTTGGGGGGGGCGTGGGTTTGGGGGGCGGCTGGGGGGGCCTGGGGGCCAAGGCAAGGTCTCAGTAAAATTGAATATTGGTGTACATCAGGGCATAGGTGGAGTAAATATGGAAGGTAGGGGGACATCAGGTGTGCCACGTTTGAGCAACGATTCGGGTAGATGAAGGTTAGTAAGGGAGAAGCCCAATGGGTGCAGACGCCTGTTGATTCATGGCTTTGGGTGCACCATTTTTGTGCCAGGTTTTGATGATGTCTTATGTTGGGGTAAGTCAGGTGAACATAGGTGGACTAACTAATGCAAAGCTGGTCAAAAGGTTTGCTTTTTGCTGGCGCCTTTTTCTTGCTTGGCAGGGAATGAGTTGGAATGACCCCAAGAGAAGCCATCGCTCGTGGTTTCAGGTTTCTTGCCAACACCCCGAACGGTCATTCCCTACTGAGCACCAGCAAGTTTTGGTCTCAGATAAATCAGGTGAATACATGGAAGGTCAATGGTCAAGAGGTTGGCATGTTATGTAATGGTCAAAAGGTTTGTATTTTGAATTGACGAAAGACTCAGAACGTACAATTTGTTTGTCCCTCAAAGTTGGGTCAAGTTACGGAGCCTTTCGGGGGGGGCTTAGAGCGTTATCATCCTTCCGGTTCTGGTGTCGATTTTCGGGTGGCTCTCGTTTTTTGTTTGTTTTCTTTCCTTTTGGGTTGTCGTTGCAGTTCCGGGCCTTGATTGGGGGCTTACCCTTGCCTCTTCTCCGTTGTTCTGTTCTCTCTTAGAGGATTGCGCTCCTCCGAAGAATTTGTTGGGCGGTTAATTTGCAGAACCCAAGAAACGACTTCGCCAACGGCTATGGGGTCGGTTTCCCTATGCGAGTTTGTCGTTGGAGGTATTCCCGCTTCAATCATAACCCCCCAAGGCAGCTCACTACCTGGCTTAAAAAAAAAACAAGAAGAAGCAATTAGTACCTGAGAGGTTGTCTTTCAAACAGGACATCCACCAACAAAACGCAGGGGGGGGGGGGGGGGGGCTATGGTTGCCCCCGCCATAGCATGGGATAGCTCTCAGATTGGGTTGCACATTGGTGTCATTTTTTCATCACCATGAAACATGGAAGAAAACAAAACATCGCTTCTGCTTTCTGGGGCTTCTGTTTTCCGAAGGTTTTGAATCACCATGAAACATGGAAAGTTCAGCATCGGCTTCTGGTTTCTGGGACCAAGTTTTCCTGCGAAGGTCAACTGGACCCCTTGACTCCTGACAGAATCCATGGGTGAGTAAACCAGTTTCATGAACCATCACCAAAGGGCCAGTTCAAGTCCGAAATGTTAGCTTCGTTTCGGGTGATGTTTCGTTGCTGTTGGCATCTGTTCCAAGGAATGCTCCGCTGCTTGGCATCTGGCCAGTGGGGGTTGAACCCTGGGGTTTTGGCAAATGACCTTTTGCTTTTAAAGGGAATCTATCACTACTGGACATTGTTTTTATTTTTCCAGGGGACTTAAGCAAATGAACTGGTCGGCTGATTGGTTTGGGGACTGGGTTACCTCTTGACTGCTATTGGGTTGGATCTTCAGACTTTAACTTTTGGGAAATCAAGGGGTTTTCCATAAAACCACAAAAAAGTTAAGCTTTTTGCAGGGGGGTCCTTGCAGCAACCAAGGGCTCCCGCTGAAAGAAACATCTCGAGGCATCCGCGTCAAGGACCACTTCGGCTTCGAGCGCCCGCTCCTGTCGTTCCCCGAGGCGGCTTCCAGCGACCGAAAGCATAGACTCCCACCATTTTTAGACCTGAGCTGACGCTGTTGGCTTTGGCTTACCCATCCGAGCGGCTTACGTTTGGTCCGCAAATGGAATCCGAATCTGCGAATCTCAACCCGAAGCCTTCAGGAGAAGAGTTCCAGCAAGGACACATTCTTTCATGCTGTCTGGGTCCGCACCAGTTGGGGGTGCAACCCTATCTAAGTCCCCCCAGCTAGGTGCCGTTTCTCACCCAACTTTTTGGGGGAGGGTTCCCCTACTAAAATAGACTACAGAGAAAAGGGTGTATGACCATAGGTGTCCTTCTTGGTTGTTTTGCTAGAAAAATAGAAGGCGATTCCTGGTTTACCTGGTGGTCAAATCATCTACCAGGGAAACCCATCTATTTCCCCGAAAAGGACAGCTATGGTTCAAAGGGCAACCGTCGCATTTCTCATGGACCCCTAACCGGTTCCTTAGCTTTTTAGCTTTTTGAAGCTCTTTATTGGCTAGGTCCCCTGTGCCCTTTCTCTCCCCTTTGGGGGGGGGTTCCCCTACTAAAATAGACGAGCGAAAAAAATCGGGTACGCTTATTCTAACCTCTCTACTGGAAGACCTAGTTTTTGTTTGCCCAGACGCCGACCTCTCCAGACCAGTCCAAAGAACCCACACCTCTTGGTGGTTTGCAGGGTTTTCAGCCATCCCCTTAGTGTTTTTTTTAGTTTTTTAGCAGTTTATTGGGGGGGACGTTTAGCGGGGAGGACAGCCCAGGCCTGACACCGCCCTTGAGGGCCCCGCCCATTGGGGGGAGCCCAGTCTTGGCCAAAGGTATGACACATCCCCAACAGTTCTTTTTTTTGACTACAACAAAGGTAGACTGAAACCCAGGGATGTGTTTGTCATTGTTGTTGTTTGTTTTTTTTTTGGGGGGGGGCGGGAATCAGGGACCGCTGGGTTCAAGTCCACTTTGGGTTGGTCAAAACATGGAACCCTGCAATTCCCCGACAACTTATGTGTGGGGGACCAACTTGCTCCTGACAAAAGGAGTTGGGCGCCCAGTACCTTGCAGACTTCGTGCGGATTCGGTCTGCTGGGTTTTCAGTCTCCGTTACTTGTTGCAGGGGGTCCACTGGTCTGCCGTTCTTTCAAACTCATCTCCCGTTTGGGGTCTCAACAGTCCGTTTGGCCACTTGGGGATCCTTAAAATCCTTTTTGTCCTTCCTCCGTTTGGGAACTTTCGTTCCGCAGGTTCGTTCCCAGCGCCATCTATAGCTTAAAGCTGAAACAATCATGTTGAATCTTGGAAACATGTCAACAGTACGACCAGTGTGAATCCAATCATGGCAATGCACACAGAATTCTCCATAGACCGTAGAACAATATGTAAGCATACTGTATTGCATAATGTATGATATATATATATATAATTGTATTATTATCATACATAAACATATATATATATATGTACATGTGGGGTGGGGGGGGGTGACCTTATATATAATATATTTATCGGTGCCAGATCGTAATCTCGACCTTAAAGACCTGGTGCACATGCCCCAAATGACAAACGGGCAGCAAGTAGCAAACAAGTTGATGGCAACATGTCGAAAAACTGCAAGCGAGTCCAACGTGGGTTGACATGGTTTTTCCAAACAGGCTTTTTTTTTTTACAGAGATAACTCCGCATGGTTCATCCGAGAATCTAAGCTACGTGAGCAATCTGAACCCAAATTGCGCCCAACGGAGGCAAACCGAACCCCAAAAAAAACACAAAGTGCAAACCGAACCCCAAAATGATCGCCAGCCGCTGTTCGAACGGGCCAGTTGGCGTGGATCAATCAAGTGGCCCTGCGCATGGTGCAGAAGCAGGGGGTGGTGCCTAAGGAGCGGAGCGCGGAGAAGGGGAAGTGAAGGCGACCAAAAAATTTCCACAAGCCTAGTTCTGTGTGGCTATTTTTGTTTGTTGTGTTTTCTGGGGGAGGGGAAGGAGACTTTTCCCCAAACCTGGTTCTATGTGTATGTGTTTGGTTGTTCTGTTTTCTGGGGGGGGGGGGAGACAAACGAAGTTTGTTTTATGTGTGTGTGTGTGTGTGCTGCTTGTTTGTGGGAGGGCGGGGGGGGTAGACGAAATGTGAAAGGTAGTTTTAGGTGTTTGTGTTGTCTTTTTGGGGAGGGGGGGTGGGGGGGGAGGATTAAATGAGAAAGTGTGAAAGGGTATGGTGCGGGTTGTTTATTTCTTTATTTGTTTTGGAGTGGGGGGGGGGGGGGTAAACTAGATGTGAAAGTGCCCTTTGGTGCCATGATTACGTGTAATGTTGGCCCCAGATTCGTTGAAATTCATCAATCAGCCAGTTTATTTAATAGGGGGTGTCCCTGGGTGACATCTGGGGAATCATCACTTCTTGGGGGGGAACACCCCTGTCGTTTCTATGCTGGGGTTTCTTCATCCGGGGTGAGCATTGCTGGGGTTTCTCCAAGCCTAGCTTGATATTTGTTTGCTTAAAGGGGCGATCGGGTACTTAGTAAGTGGTTAGTAACCGTGGTTACCCACTTACCATGGTTATAAGTCTCCCAAGTGGGTTATAACCATAGTTACTAACCACTTACTAAGTACCCTGCCGCTTTAAGTGGTAGACTAAATGTGATTCTGAGAATCAGAACCATTTTTCAGATGGCCAATCGCCAGCCAGACAGTGCCAGCCAAGGATTGCGGAAACCGGTCTCTAGAATATTTTCGGTGTTGGCACTTCCTGAGTTCATGAACTTTAAACTTCTTGGGAAGACCATTTTAGTGGTAAATCTAAAGTTTGGACTTTTTGTTTGGGCCATCCACTCAGCAAATGAGTATATATATATATATATATATACATCTGCACATAAATGTTGTGCAGCAGGATCAGCACCCTGCTTGCTCAGTACACTTCAGGCCGCTTTCGTTTGGTTAAGCGCTGCTTTGTGGTTGGACCTTTCACAAATAAAGACTTGAGCTATTCGCAACACGTGCGCAGGGCCTGGCGGCCATGCCAAGAGAGAATCCTGTTGGTTTCCGCGGTTTTAGCCTGCCTTTGCGTTGCAGACCACCTGTTTTTGAGCCCACTCCAGAGTTGCTCCGAAGCATATTCGAAAGCCCGGAAATGGGTACATTGGATTTTTCCAGCTTGGTTTGCTTTCCCTTCGGGGGCTTGAGCGAGCCCTTGCCCACGAATGAGAACTTTGCGTTTGCACGGGGACTAAGGTGGTCTCGGCAATTATGCCGAACCCTGGTTACAAGGGATTGTCCCTCTTTGTGACACGAGGGACCAGGGGCCTTTGCACTTTTGAGGATCGTCTTCGCTTTCCTTTGGATACGTCTTGACTCGCTTCGGCGGGTACTCAGCCCGGCGGTGGGCTTAGTGGATGGAACTGGGCTTCCCCCCACTTCTCCCTCCCCTAAACTCGCCCAAGGTGGGGAAAAAATATTAGCCTCGTACCTGGAACGTTGTCCTTTCTTAATTTCGCTTAAGGTGAGGGCAGAGACGAGAGCGCGGCTTCGCGACAGGCCGTCAAAGGCCAGGAGGTGACACCTGAGAACATGCATCAGCTAGCCCACCTCCAGCCGATTTACAGCGCCCTGGCGAGCAAAAGCAACCGTTCAAATGCGCAGCTTTCACTGACTAGCCAAAACCAAGCATTTGAAGTTGTCCTTTTTGGACCAGTCATGGTGAGGTGATCACATGTTGTTTCAATTGCCCTTTGGTTGCGATTGGTGTCAGGGGAATTTGAGACTCTACATGTCTTGCAAGTTTGGCCACGTTACATCGGTGTATTGTGTATCGCTGTTTGGCCTTCCTCCTCGTGCCTTGATTCTCTGGATTTATTTATTTTTGTGTTTGTATTTGTTATTCCTTTTGTTTTCTTCCTTTCCTGCTACCCCTTCTTCCTGTCCTGCGACCCCTTCTTCCCCCGAACTATTCTGCAATTTTAAATTGTTGTCCAATATTGTGCGGATTCCCGCTTTTTCTTTTTTGTTCTTTTTAACATGATGCTTCTTTCTTCTCCATAGAGACTTGATTGCTCTTCTGATCCAGTGTGCGATGTGTCTTATGTTTCCTTCTTTCGATGACCACCCACTGTGCCTTCTTCTTTGATTCATTGGGGTGTGTCTCAAGAAAGTAGTGGTCCCCATTTTATCCAACCAAAAGGGAGTGCGAAATCCATTTGAGCCGCCCCCATTCAGTTTCTCCTTTCTAGCTTGGCTTTGTCCGGGGGTTCTCCCGGAAAACATGAAACATGCGCAATGCCGGGCCAAAGCCCTGAAGCAAAAGATGTCCACAGCAACGGCGGTCTGCAAAATGTGTTTCTCTGCCTCGGACTTGGCACCCTGCGCAAATCTGGGTGCCAGACAGCCCATAGGTCCCTCGAAGCGGCTTCAAAACGGGATGAGAAATATGGTTTGATTCTTGGGATGGGACAAACGGAAGCGCCCTTGCCGCAAGACGGCAAAGAACGGGGGGCGGGGGGCGGAGGGAAGCGCAATCTCGCTTGTCAAGGTTCCTTTCATCGGGATGCATCTTTGCGGTTGATTGAGTTTTATCTTGGTGGCTCCCAGCCATCCCCTTAGCGTGTTAGTGCTTGGTGGGGTTTTCCATTTAACCCACTAAAAGTTCGTCACTTTTAGCGGGGGATCAGAAAATGGGCAGCCCAGTTGTTGTTTGGATCTATGTACCCCAAGTTCTTGCAATGGCCAGGGAACCAGCACTCCTGCGAAGCATGTTGCAAGTGTGCAAACTGTGCAAACAAAAACAACATTGCTTCAAACCACGTCTTACAGAACGCTTCAACCCACATAGCTCTCACAACACCCAGAACGTCTTTGGTTGGTAGCTTTAGACTTCCTGCGAAGCATGTTGCAAGTGCAATGAGGGAATCACCCTTATAAACCAGCCACCTGGTGGGTTGCTTTCAGGGCGCTGGGTTCATTCCAACCCCTGGAAATACTGGCTGATCAACCGCCCAGTGAACTGTGCGAACCCTTGGCTTCCTTTGATCATTTGGACAAAATCCACGGGCAGTTGGGATGGAACTTCTGGAAGTACTGGTTGAACCGCCTGGCTGTTACAAAGCGGATCTTGTCCACAGTGCCACCTGTTCTTGCTGGTGCGATAAGCAGGGAATGATGGGGTTGACCCTTCTGAACCATCCAAGAAGTGGGTTCCTTTAAAAAGTCCCGGGTTCATTCCATTTCTCATTTGCATGGCACCCATCGTGCCCAGATTTGCCCTGACCAAGTTTTCATTCGGGGAAATGCATTGACCGAAGAAGGACATCAAACAGAAGCTGTTTGAGCCAACAAGATCCGTTTTGAAGCAGTTCTGGCGGAAAATGGGGATTCAAGTTTGGGGAGTAGCCCAGCGAGGTGCAGTTTCCACTAGAAGAGGAATAACCAGTTGGACAGATCCAACTTTAGTTTGGCGGATTCGCTTGGTTACCTTTTCCTCGTGGCTTGCCAATTTAGGCCATGGTCACATCTTAGCCACATCTTAGCCACGCTACGGCTTGGATGCAACCGTTGTGGATCCACTTGGCATTCAAAGCTACCAAGCGCCTATTGAAAGGACACCTCCTATTCAAAGGACACCAACACGGCGGACCTCTTACCTTCCCCAGAATTAGCTCCCCTTTTTGTTTTCTTGCTTTTTTGGGGGTCCCTTTGTTTTCCACAAACCAGGCCAAAAAGATGATTTTTCGCTGGGGTCCTGATTCCAGCCTAGTTGCAAACAACCGCGTCCGAGCGAAAGTTTCTGATGGATCCAGATTCCATCCAGATCCCTATGGGCAGCTTCCATGATTTCTGGGAGGATCTGCCAACCAAGACCCAAATGGTTTCAGCAGATGAGTCAGCCAAGGAGTGGGTGAGGAGGAAGTCGAGGAGGCAAAGCTCACGGAGATGCTGTGCCTCGCTGGTGCAAAGCGAATGCTTGTGAGGTTTGGTCAAGATGACTGGTATAGTCCATGGTTGAGTTGGGAGGGAGGCCGCCCTAATTTTTTCTCCCGTGCCCTTGTTAAGAAACATGCAACTTTTTCAGTGGCTCAGCTGTTGTTGGGAGCAGGCGAATCTGGAGGACCGTGCCACTGACAGGGTTCTGAATAGATACTCTCTCTCCAACAATCATGGGAGTGGACAGAAGTCTAGAAAACGGTTTGGATGTGCCTGTTGTGATTTTACCTCTTCTACCCCCTGTTGGTCCCTGTTAGTACTCTTGTAATACTCTTGCAATATCCTACAGGGGTGGATCCACAGAAGCCATATCCAAGCCGTTTCCAGAAGAAAGGGTCCCGTGAACCAGAAAGCACCTTCCTGTCAACTTCCGGTTTGACTTTAGTATGTTGAGGGTCTGGGCCTGTTTTTGGGGCAGGGGAAGCTGAGATAGTACTAGTACTTTTTGAGGTCCTTGGAATGAAGGGAACCGAACCGTTCCTTCCCAGCAAAGCGCAATGCTTACCACAGGTTCCGGGCTTTTCCTTTCGTCATCCGTAGGGAGGGAGGTGTTTTGTTCTACTGGTAGGTGCAGGCCCGGGATTAAGGGTGAATTCCCCGCAACCAAACATTTGCGACAGGTCGTCCCTTGAGTTTCCTTTTCGAAAATGGTGCCCTTGTAACCCGGTTGCCCAGTGGATTCCGCCGATCTTTTCTCAACTTCTTTTGGGGACGGGTTCCGATTCCTTTACTCCCTTCCTGGGTTCATGAACTTTAAACTTTTTGGGAAGACCATTTTAGTGGGAAATATAAAGTTTGAACTAATTTGGGCCATCCACTCAGCAAGTGAGTTTAAACTCAACCAAGAAGGGAGGCCGAGATTTTTTTCTCCCTGGACATCCACTGGGCTGCGTGAGAGTCCCTAACTCCAAGCTGAGCACTGGCTGCATGAGATGGACGGCCAACACCCCCTCCCCAGCGGATCCCAGTGACCATAGAAGGCAACCTGTCATGTTCGTTCGTGGTTTTAGGGTAGTTTCCTTGGTTGCCTACAGTGTACGAGAACAGTTGGGCAAAACTGGATGGCACCATTTCTGCATGTTGGTTGACAGATCCCCTTCACTTACCCTCCCGCCAGCTAACATGGAAGTGCACAGACCCCTGAAGAAAGACTACTTTCCATCTTGGAAAGGGCCTTTTTGCACAAACCCATGTCAGTTGGAGGGAGGGTACCCACATCAATAAAATTGTACCATTTATTATTTGCCTGGTGAAAGGTAAGCCACTGCGCCTCTTACCTGGGGGTGCTGACTGTCATGGGGCTCCAAGGGTCCGTGTAGTCAAACCTGAGAAGGAGTCCTATCAAATTCATCACGACCATGACCCACATCAATCGGCGCGATGTTTGCTTGACTATTTGGTTTGAAGCAACATTACAACCTGAACCAGTAATTAACCAACAAGGTACCACTTCAACCATGCTGACTTGGATTCAATCCATCATTTGGCCGCCATTCTTCATCATTTGGTCTCTCGCCCAAAAGACATGACATTGGACCTTAAGCATCCGCTCAAAGAGCTCTTTCATATTGTTTGGATTGGACACCACCCATCGAACACCAAAGGAAAACCAAGTAAGCCCAAGGGGAGCCAAAGAGCCATCCTATCCGCCAGTCAATCCTCCCCGCACTGCGCATCCACTCACAACCTCCACCAAACTACCCATCTTGGGAGGAAGTTTGGAGGACACCCA